TGTGTATGTGTGTGTGTGTGTGTGTGTGTGTGTGTGCTAAAGAGACAACGCATTGCACGAAGCGTGCATTTATGAAGCACATGGATCCGTCAACGGAGCAGGAGTGCACCATGAAGTTGTGAGGTACCGTGGGCGTCTCAGGCCGATTGACAATCGAAGGCTGCCGAGCGAGAACTATGATGGGCGAACCGTCAACGGCAACTTCAAGTGCTCGCATTGGTACATTGGTGCGGCGGAAGCGTAGTGATTCCCAATGCCTCGGTGTTCTCCTCCTGGCCGCGACGTCCTGTGAGCAGACAAAGGCTCATCGAGACGCAGGAGCTCCTCGATTGCGTGGCACGTTAAATACTTTGCGGCATCTGGCGGGTTTCCTGGTGAAGTAAGGTGTTTCACTTCGGAACGGTGTCTTTCCAAATCCCTAATGACTGCACTGCCTTTCGCTGCTGGAATCCCGGCGCCACGGATCGCGCAGCAGCTCAGCGAGGTGGACCCGTTTGTGGTATAGGATAGATCTTAAATCCCCAATCATCCTTTGAGAGACCCGTGTTGTGACTGCCGCTTGGGAATGTTTGCCAGATGCCGCCGGGTTTCTTCTTCTGAGATAGTATACCTTGGGTTGATACACAGGGTGTCACCGAAGCCTGGGGCTCTCGATGAATGTCTGCAGCTAGAATCAATCTTTCTGGAGGAGGCTCTGGACCACCATGATCCCTGCATTAGTCCTACTACTAGGCCTAAGGACCCATAAGCCCCTGGCGTTCCCCTGGAGTCTGTTGAATCGGCTAAGTAACATACGCTGGCCTGTTGTGGTTTGAGATGAAGAGCGAAACCCTAATTCCCGACTCCTTTCAGAGACCAGTGTTGCGGCTTCCGTTTGGGGATGTTTGTCAGCTGCCGCTATGTTTCTTCTTCCATGATACTATACCCCTATACCCTGGCTTGGTATAATGCGTGCTATGGAGGCTCGGGGCTCCCGACGAACCTTTGCAACTACAATCAGCCATTTTCACGAGGCTCCGGACCACCGTAATCCCTGGGATGACCTCTCCCGGCACCTCCTCAGGCCGCCTCTCCGATGCCGGTCTTTGGGACGTTGCTTGCTTGCTTCGACGCTGTCTTGCGAAAGAGCAAGCAAGCAACGACCCAAACACGAGAAGAATGTGCGTGTGTGTAAAAAAAGCCAAGTCTTCAGGAAGATTTTAAGATGTGCCATGGCTGATCAGAGACCAGTCAGTCACCTGTGACTCTGTCCTCATTCGCAGCTCTATTATTGTGAAGTCAGTGAAGCTTCTTGCAATAACGCCATTTTCCGCAGCTGGTGTTTCCGCTGGTACAGTGAGGACGATGTGAGGCGTTCCACCCTTCATAACTTGAGAGGCAGGAATGCCAAGGACGAGTGGCCAGTTCTTGGCCAGGCACATTTCCATATATATAATATATATATATATATATATATTTATATGTATAGTATCCATATATTATGCATTTGCCAATCCCTCTGACAAGTTGCCACTTGACCTGTTGAGTCAGGCTCTGAGCCCTCACGCTAGGCGGATCTTGATTAAGCGTTCCCACACACAGGGCATAGAGTGAACTACATCGAGTCAAGTGTATGGTACAAAGATGACTCCACGACTCCGTGACTCTATCTCACTACAACTCTATGACTTTATGACTCATGACCCATGGACTCTATGACTCTTGATTCTGTGACTTTACGATCCTATACACTGACTCTATCTCACTACGACTCTATGACGCTATGTCACTGCAACTCTATGACTTTATGACTCATGACTCATGGACTCTATGACTCTTGATTCTGTGACTTTACGATCCTATACACTGGATCTATCACATAGCCCCACACTCTTCGCTGATGATGCTTTCGGGCCAATTGTCTTCTAGTTCATGCTGATGATACTCACGATTCTGTTGGCTATGCTCGAGATGGGGATGCTGCTGGTGATGCTCATGATGGTGCTGCTGGCATATTGGGGTCAGCTCTCTTGTAGACTGTTGCATGCATTGGCGAATGCAGGACTACGTCATGGGAATCTCGGCGGTCCCGAAGAACGGGATTGAAGCCGCTCTCTGCACCGCCGCCAGAAACAACAGCCAATCGCAGGTCGCTTGTTGGGGGCTCCCTGTTCTGTCTGTGCGCAGCGCAGCTTGGCTCGAGGGTTGTGGCATTGTCTACACAGCACAAGGTTTCCCAAGACATGCCTCGGAGACTGGCACAGAGCTCCGTGCGCAGGTGCTGAGCTACTTGGTCCTGGGAGCTGACATCGAGTATCCATGGTTCCTTGGTTCGTGTTGGCAGTACTTATCTCGAAGCAACATGCTCGTGTCGCCAAGGTGCTGGACGCCGAACCTTCCTTGGTGCCTTGGGCAGTCCCCATAATTACTTGTTTTCTGCTGCCCTTGTTGTGCGTCTTGACACAGGTACACGACGCCCTTGGGCCATGCAGCGGTTCATCGTCACAAGGACTTTGAGACCGCGAGCTCGGAATGACAGTTGCAATCAGCACGACGCACCACGTATGATGTGCAAACATGATCACTGCCTGTGGCCGTCGCCTCCTCCCGTCCCGATGGTCGCCATCTAATGCCCCCACCCCGGCCACTCTGTAGATGTGGATGTGCTGCTTCTAACCTTAGTCTCGTCGCAGTAGTAGTCGTCGTAGTATAGTAGAAGTAGAAGCAGAAGTCGTAGTCGTAGTCGCAGTCGTGGTAGCGGTGGTAGTCGGGGTAATCGTGGTAGTTGTTTTGCAGCAGTGGCAGTGGTAGTAGTAGGGGTACTGGTGGTGGTAGTGGTGGGGGCGGTGGTGGTCGCGGTAGTGGTAGTGGTAGTAGGAGAGGTAGAGCTGGTGGTGATGGGAGTAGGAAAGGAGTAGGAGCCGCACAGAAGCAGTGACAGGCACTGGAAGAACAAAGATGCCACACCACCGATACTGCCAGCAATGCTAATGGCAACGCCAAAATGAGCTATTCCGGGGCCGTGTTTCTGCCAAGACTGTTATGCTGCAAGATTATGGTGGCTGTAGTTTGTGGGTCTTGGGCTGTTATGGTGGACAAGCTCGTAGCGCTCTTCTACCTCCACTCATGGTCATAATCATGGTCATCGTCGCCAGTTTCATCATCATCACCGCCTTCGTCATCGGCATCATCAGCAGCATCACCGTCATGACCATCATCATCACCATCATGATCCTCATAACCCTCATCATCATCATCACCATCATGACCACCATCATCATCACAACCATAAGAACCGTTACTGTAGAACTATCAGTACTCACTTTCTTTCATCATGACCATTGCTTGACTGCTTCATCATGCCAGCAGTCATGATCGTCAGTATACCGTACCTCGCCGATTGTCGTCATCCTCATAATCAGCAGCCGGCCTCTGACCTGCAGGACATGGTGAGGCTCCTTCTCGATCTCAAGGCGAATCGTCACGACCGCTCCAAGCGTTGCGTCGCAAAGCAACCCGATTGCCTGCCGAGGAGCTCCATTGCTGTCGCTTCGATAATCGTCGTCCACTGCCACTACTCTGTTTCTCGCTACTACCACGGCTGCTACTAAGGTTATTACTTACTGTTACTTCTACTTCTACCACCACCACCACCACCAGCACCACCACCACCACCACCACCACCACCACCACCACCACCACCACCACCACCACCACCACCACCACCACGACTACTGCGACGACGACGACTACTACTACTACCAGTACCAGTACCAGTACCAGTACCAGTACCAGTACCACTACCACTACCACTACCACTACCACTACCACTACCACTACCACTACCACTACCAGTACCACTACTACTACTACTACTACTACTACTACTACTACTACTACTACTACTACTACTACTACTACTACTACTCCTGCTGCTGCTGCTACTACTGATGATGACAGCTTCGACCAGGAGCTGCTTCGGCTGTTTCTCCGCCTGCGAAGCCTTCGCCTCCCGGAATGTCGCAGGGTGGCGATAGTAACCATTTGCTTGAGCTCAAGTTGTTGTTTGAGGACTGGCATGATTGAGCACAGGGACACTGAACAAACACAGCAAAAGTAGGCGCCCTGTCTCATCTTCTCAGTAGGAACATGCGGGATGCCGGCCATCGCCAAAGCGCTCAATCCGTATGCGCAAGCCAAGGATGTGCTGATCCCTGTGCAGACCAAGGTTCCGAGAGTTCGCGTTTTCTTGCATGCGGAATCCCAATAACAGCACTACTGATCTGCTTCAGGGCGATGAGGAGCTTGGCAAGTTGCTCGGGTGTTCAGACGATGTGAGGGCCAGCGCACTGTTGCGAAAACAGCTCTCATTTATATAGCAGTAGGCATGTCCTTGTGAGTTTCACATGGTGATGTTCCGCCCGTTGCTTTGATGGAAGAGAAAGGGCACATGGACCTCCGGCGAGAAAACTCAGTTCTGATTGCGTGGACCTCACCACGATGCACATGTTTTCCTGCCCTGCATGGGGCGACGGTGATGACATTCATCACTCATCAATTGGCAATTTTGCAGGTTGTCGCCTGGATATTCTCGACTGCCGAGCCTGTATCTTCGAAGAAAATACAAAGCTCGGCCCATTAGCATTATTCTTTCTAGCGCATGGTGTCCTGAAGGACACCAGGCAGGAAGTTTTCGGGCCGTCTGGGCCCGTGCACGTCCCAATGCAAAAGTTGCAGGTTCCGCCTTGGGGTTATCGAGTCAAGATTTTCGGCAATTTGGGGGAGTGAGCCCGAGTGCTACCCTGGAGAAGTGGAGGACTCTGGTTTCGACAGGCGCATGTACTGGATAGTTGGGTATGACTCGCTAGGACCTCCAGGACACTCCTTTCCCTACTCCGAAAATTCCTCCTCTCCTCCAGGCGCATCATTGCTACCTTCATCATCACTGTGATCGTCGTTATGCAGCATCATATTCCACAGTAGCTACTGCGGTTCAGTGCCCCGAAGCCTTGGCTTCACAGGCCCAGCGGCGGCAGCGAGGCGGCCGTGGCCTTGGCCGTGGCCTACGCTCACTCTTTGCAGAAGGCCCGTCGTGCAGGTAAAGGTTTGAGGCAAGTGGGGACCTAACGCTTCGAGTCGATGGTTGCCCCTTAGCCATGGCTCTTCTTGGCTAGCGTTCCAAAGCATTTGAGACCCGGGGAGGTGGAGTTGGTTGTACCAGCATACGCGGTACATCGCAGCTCTTCATGTCACGAAAGCCAGCTCTGTTGAGCTTGTGTGAGTTGTCCTTTAGCAACTCACGTTGTATTAAGGCACTAGGGAAAAAACATGGTTTGCACCTTATCAGGTGGGACGTCCAAGAGTTGAGGGTGGGGGGGGAGGGGGTGCCGCCCCCCCCCCCTCTCACCTCGTTCATGAAGCATCTTCGAAGGACCCCCCTCCCTCCCCTCCCTCCTTGAAGGTTGCGGAGCGTGGGATAAGGTAGAGGGGGGGGGCCCTTCTCTCCCCCTCCCCCCCCCTCGCAAGGTCCCTCAGTTTGCTTCTGTTTGAAGTCTGCTAAAGACTACGCCTTCTCTCGAAGTCTTTCAGCGCCTTGACATGTTCTGTCTCTACGCCACCAGAACTCGAAGATAGAATGTGGCTCCACGCCTTTGTTTCAGTTGTAGTCTTCATGTCAAACGTCCCCCGCGTGCAAGTCATTCGCATCGCCTCACTAGTCACCCCGTGTTCCCAGCTACGCTTCTTTTCCCCTAGCTTTCGTCGCCCTCTTCTCAAGTGGTATAGTGGCACGGACCCGTGGTGATCATGGCAATAGTGGTCGGATTGTGAGGAAGGGCGACCGGCCACAGTGGTATGACATGTCATTGGCAGCTGGAGTACTGCAGCTTCATAGCAGTGGGAGCATGAGCACATCCTCTCTAGTGGTGGGAAGGGCCTTAGGGCAACACAGCATCCCAGATAATGCAGTAGCCAAAAATTTGAATCCCGTCCTGCAGGGCCGAAAGAGGGCGCAGAGTTTCATCTCGTCCGCTGCCGAGGCGGCTGCAGCGTGATGCTTCCTTTTACTGGATTTTCTCTGTTGGGCGCTGCCTCTTTCTTCAGTCTTAGCTGCAAGGGTAGCTGCAAGAACGCACCTTGCTGGACATGTCAAGCGGTGGGTGGCAGTTGAGCTGTTGATGCTACCTTTCAGAGATCTTCCACCTGCAATCGGGGTAACTGTCTTCAAAGATGTCACGGCCGGCAGAGAGCAGTCCTTGTTGCTTCAACCGCGATCCGGCCGGCCAGTGGGCGCAGAAGAACCTCGCGTCCGAGAGCTTAACGAAGTGGCCAGATACGGAGGTGCCCCGACCTGTTGTAGGGTTGTGGAGCCTCTTCGAACTGCGAGCCCCGGCCTTCTTTCAGTGATCTGGTGCACTCTGGCGCCAGGAGGGTCTGGCCAAGATCAAAGAGCTCTGGCTCTCCAGTGCGAAGAAGGTGCTCGTGCACGGCGTCAGCTGGGTTCCGGTGTGGGTCAGCCGCGGCCTACCAGGACGACCGCGCAGCGCTGGAGTCTCTCTGGGGAGAGGTGCAAAGGCCCGACGGGGAAGATAAGAACAGCTCCGTTCTTCTGAGCCTTTCTTCCTTTCAGTGGCAGGAACGCATCCCGACCCGGGGCCTACTTGGTCAATTGCAGCGACTACGTGGCCTCTACAGGCGCCTGGGAAGTGCCGGTTCCTCCTGGGATGGATCCTTCCGAGCGGTGCCAGGAGTGCCTGTGCCGTCCCTTCTGGTCAATGGCAAGGCCTGGACATGAGCGACAGCAAGATTTTCATGCCTCAGATCTTGCAGCTCTTCCATCCCTGATGGTTGGCTTATTGGCAGGCTCAGTCTTCCGGAGGCAGTCTAACGAACCAGCCTGTGCAGACCAGCATCATGATGGCACAACTGGAAGCAAGCTTGGTGTCAGCAACCACCCAGCCAACACCCACCAGCTTGTCTCAGCGAGTGGATTGCACCAGCTGACACGTTGTTACTTGGAGCTTCCAATTACCCAGCAAGCGGCGCCCATCAGATTCCACAGTTGCATAACAAACCAAGCTGCTTGCATGTGCTTTCAGCTTGCATCCTGCGATGGGTGCTGCGTTTCCTTCCACCAATGCCCGGGACCCAGTCGGATTTGCCGCGTTGCCCAAACCCTGCTCCCCAACACCCAGTGTGTCGTTGAACCCTCGAAAGTATTATGATGATTACTAATTAGCATTATTATTGTGATCACTACTACTACTACTACTACTACTACTACTACTACTACTACTACTACTACTACTACTACTACTACTACTACTACTACTAGGCCGTCCCCCCCTGGTGCGACGCCGGTCGCAGAGTTCTTGGATGAACATGATGTCCCATGACAGCTGTCGAGGTCCAAGATGCGGCGTAGCAAGGACAAGGATCGTCCACACCGCTGCAGTAGATAAACATGGATGCTCTCCAAACCCAAATGCGCTAGACCATGGACGTCATTAGGTTTTGGACATGGGTGCTCTCCAAACCCAAATGCGCTAGACCATGGACGTCATTAGGTTTTGGACATGGATGCTCTCCAAACCCAAATGCGCTAGACCATGGACGTCATTAGGTTTTGGACATGGATGCTCTCCAAACCCAAATGCGCTAGACCATGGACGTCATTAGGTTTTGGACATGGATGCTCTCCAAACCCAAATGCGCTAGACCATGGACGTCATTAGGTTTTGGACATGGATGCTCTCCAAACCCAAATGCGCTAGACCATGGACGTCATTAGGTTTTGGACATGGATGCTCTCCAACCCAAATGCGCTAGACCATGGACGTCATTAGGTTTTGGACATGGATGCTCTCCAAACAAACGATTTGAATGAAAATCATGATCAAAATGAGGCCCAAAAAACCTTGATTCTGATCGCTAGGTTTTGGGCACGAAAATCGAGACACCCAAAAACAGAAAAAAATCATGAAATTCGCAAAGACAAGTGCTGTAAATACCAGCATTTTCGTGTGCGACATTGATGAACAATGTTAGAAAATATGATAAAAATACACACGAAACCAGGAACAGTTGTCACTTTCGATAACTGCGGAAAGAAAGTGCTGTAAAACACAGCATTTTCGACCACAGCAAGTCCCAAAAATAAGAGGTTTGGGCGTCGCACCGGGGGGGGGGCAACCCTACTACTACTACAATTACCATTTGCTATCACTATTGCTATTACCATTACTGAGCAATATTACTATTACTAGTATTATTACTATTACGATTGTTGTTACTATTATTGTCCAAGGTCACCGGTATGGTTGCCGACAGCCTCGGCCTGGACAAGAACCTGTGCCGACAGGCCGGACATGCAGAGACCGATCTCCCAGTGTCATCTGTTGGAAAGATCAGCCCTGATCGGCAAAAAGCTATATTGGAAACATGTATGCGTACATATATAATTATATTATCTATATATATATATACACATACACATACGTGTACATGTATGTGTGTGTATGCATGTACGTTTGCATGTATGTATTTATGCGCATATTTGTACATATATGTTTATATACACGTACATACATACATACATAAATATATATATATATATATATATATATATAGTATATACACACACATACACTCAGTCACCCACCCAACCACCCAACCACCGAGCCATACACAGAAAGGCAGACATAAGTGAAGGTATTTGTGAGCAGTATGTACATGTACATAAGCCGGCATCTACTTGTACATATGCATGTGCAGGTAGAGGTAGATGTATCCGTTAGTGCATGTACTCGTCCATATCTACACCTATATCTGTATCGAACAAAATGCCGTATGTCTATCGATGTTCAGGAATGTGTATCTATCTCTATCTATCTAATTATTTATCGATCCATCCGTCCATCTGTCTACCTCGCCGTGCATCCGGCGGAGCTTTGAGGCTTACGAAGATGGCAGCGAGTACTACGGCCAGTGAGAAACCCAGCAACTCCTGTGAGCCCCATGTTTTTTTTTTCGGTCTTGGCTGCGGTCAAGGTTTCAAAAGAGGGAGTTTCACGGTCGAGGCGGGGGTGTTGGGTGTGTCTCTTTTGGGCTCAGATGGCGTGTTGAGTTGCGCAGGTCGGATGCGGTGGAATGCCGGGAACGGCAAGGTCGACGAGTACGACGGCCACGCGGCCAGAATTTTCACACGTTGACTTGTCATGCTTTCTGCCTGATCTTCAGGGATGAATTCTGAATGTTTGCTCTGCTTGACCACAGGTTGGTCGCTGTCCAGGTGTGAGATTATTGGCGGTTGATGACACTGCCCAGGCCACTGGGAGAATGGCAGGATGCACGGCCAGGGTGTCTACAAATACTATGACGGTGCGCCGTCGCAGACCACAAATGCTTCTCGATCCCTTCAAGCCCTTGTGATTTTTGCATTTTGGAAGCCTTCAAGCGACGTCTCCAAGGTTCTATAGAGATTCTGACAAGGGGTTCCAAAGGGGTTCTCACAGGTTAACAAGGGGTTCTTCAAGCGTTCTAGAAAGGTCAAAAATGTCTTGAGCTAGACAGCTCCCCGATGCTTCAGCTGGCAAAGGATAGTCTCGAAGAGTGGGTGCTGCGAGGCCAAACGTCGTAGTCGTAGTCCTCTGTGCTAGACGAGAGCTCAGCACGGAACCCCACAAGGCGAGTAGACAAGATGTTGGGGGGAAGAGCTTATGTGGCGCCGCGACTGGATGAGTCAGGGTCTGGTGCTTAAGCCAAGAACCTCAAGCTTATCACCTTCAATCCGCCCGGCAGGTACACGGTACCAAGGTCAGTTCCAGGACAATCTGCGGCAAGGCTACGGGATCCTAACGGTGCCCTGCTCAGTTTTGATGACGGGGGCTCCCTTAAATCCCTAAGGCCCCGGACCAGAGGAGTCCCAACTCCACACCCTAGAAATGCACGGTGCTGCTGGGGGCAAGACAGGTTTTCTAGCCCTGAATCATGCCCTTGCAGATGTCTGCGCCCGCTCCTCCCGCAGTCTTTCCCGACGCTTGCAAGCCGGGAACATGTCAGTTCGCGGACGGCAGCCTCTACGAGGGCGGCTGGAGTGAGGATGTTCCCGAGGCACGGGTGCTGGCTTGCATCATGCTGTGGCTGCGGGCCAAACTCAAAAGGAGCAGGTTCCGGTTCAAGAATTGCTTGCAACGGCTGTCTGTCCCAGCACGTGCAAAGCACGTTCAGCAGATTCGTGGCCGAGAGTGGCGGGGCAGCAGAGTGCATTTTACCTTGATTTGCGACTTGCGGCGTAGGACGACTCTGCGAGACAACTCCACTGTCAGGTGCTGCTTGTCGAACCTTACCTCACAGAACCCCCCCCCCCCCCAACGCCTTACAGTAAGCCGTCCGAAAAACACCGGCTTTGAGTTGCCTTTGCCGCCTTGGGCCCTTGGGCAGGGAGAGGGGCGTGTGATCTACTCCAACGGTCAGGCCGGGAGCCTCCCTCCGTCTCCCTGGCCCGGCTCTGGCTCAGAGCTCCGCGTCAGATCGTGAACACCACCTTCAAAGCTGGCCAGCAAAGCATGGAGCATCTGGAGACCTTGATGAAGGACTGAAGCTGACTGGCCTTGAACTGCCTCACGAGTCCATGTACTGCCTTCGGTTCCTTGCGTGTCGAAGGAGGCCGTCGGAATCTCAGAACCCACTGCAGAGGCATGTGACAGTCCGTGTGGCCCGCGCTTTTCTAAAGCTCAGGTGCCGCCTCCGCCGCCAGACAGCATGCTCGGTGGCCCAGACGGCCCTACATGGCCGGAGCAGAGCCAGTCCAGTCGTACTCGTCGAAAGCGAGTCGCCCTTCATCTTCCCGGCTTGCTGCTCAGGGATTTCGTCCCTGGCGATAAACATCACGAGCCCGTGTGCCTGGCACGCTTCCATGCTTCCTATGAAATTAATGAGGAGGGTGATCGTTTGGCAGCACTGTGGCAGGCGTCGTCCTCCACTGCGCCAGCCATACTCAACGACAGCCGGCCCCCGCTGCCTCCACCGGAGCCGTGAGCCCTGCAACTTGAGTCTGTCGCAGGCTAGAGTCTAGAGTTCTTTCCTGAGCAGGTACTCCATGGTGTCGGATCGGCCGGACATGTCGCTTCCCATCGCCGACGGCGACAGCTTGGCACGGCTTCCGGCCGCCTCCTTAGCGCGACAGTCGACGAGTCGACGTGTACCAGACAAGGGGGAGAGCAATCTCACATAAACGACGTTCCCTTCCGAGAACTTCTTCCGAGCAAAGTCGTGAACCGTAGCTTGATGTCCAGCAGGGTCCAGAGACCCTGGCCGTAAATGGATCCACTTCACGCAAAGAGAAGCCTGCACTTTGAGAGGTGTTGGCCTTGACCAACATACCGCCGCCACCGCCAGGGGCTCGGATGACTTGGACCTGGAGAGGAGGGACGAGAGGTTTCGAGGTTTTGTCTGTCTGTCTGCCTCAGTTTTTGATTCCAGCTGCCATCTTAGGTTGGCTGATGTTTGAGTCAAGACATCTTCAGTGGCAGCTGAGGCCACTGGGTACCACAGCTCCTCTGCCAGCGCTGAAAGCTCCGGGGGGCCCCGCTGGGTCCGGGCCCTACGGGAGGTTTCGGGTTCAAGCAGCTCTTGGTTTCAGTTTGCTTTGCGAAAGTGCTCAGGGCCGTCGCATCCTCGCCGCTGGGAGCCTCGCCTTTGGGTGCGTCGCCACCCGGTGCTTCGCCGCTCGGTGCGTCGCCCGTAAGGGAATTGCCTGTCGGCATGCTGTCGCTGGGTGCTGCACCACGGCCACAGGCATAGCAAGCCTGCACGGGTAGCTCCTCATGTTGTCATGCTCCTGGGAATCGGTACGTGAAAGGCATATACCTACGATGAATCGGGATGCACCAGGTATCTTTACAGAGGACAGAAGCAGGTTGTGCTGCCTCGTGCAGTTTCACCCTATGCCACTGGCCTGAGGAATCGGTACGTAAGCCAGAAGTTTTGGCCGTGGAATTTGGAACAGGAAGGTTCTTGTTGGATGTGCTGTGCTTTCTCAGGCTGGTTTGAGCGCATGTCAACGAGCGGGGTCCATCGAGTTGTGAGCTGTAGAAGAATCACAAGTATTTCGTCCCCTTGACAGATTCTGACCCCCTTTAGCCTCAATCCTTTCATACCCTGGAGCTCTAAACTTTGGCCCGCGTTTCACCTCCGATAGCCGGTGACCATCGTCGAAAACAATCACAGGTATGTGACCATAGAGCTTTGAAGGCTCGGCAACTTCATGTCTTAAGATACCGACTATGTCTTTCCGGCATTTTTCCGTCCAGATCATGCTGAAGGGCGCCTACGACGCGCAACAGTGCGCCTCTCGGCACATGTCTCTCTCGTCGAGCTGGTCTGCTGTGTGTCGTCGTTGGGCAGCATCAACACCGCCGCCACATACCACCACCATCATCATCATCATCATCATCACCATCACTGTCACAGCTCTATCATAATCGTCGCCAGCATCATGAAAATCACGATCACCACCATGACCGTCGTCGTCATCGCAAGCATCATCATCAGCATCGTCGTCGTCGTCATCCAGCACTAGCTCGCACCGGCTTGAGAGAGAGATTGTTTGTGTTTGTGTGCGTGCAGGTGTGCATGTGCATGTGTGTGTCCCTGAAGCATGGTACATCCGTTGCTGGCATCGGCCAAATATTTAAGCAAGAGCAAACTCCGCAGCCCTCCAGGAAGCAATGCCTGAACGCTTAACCTTTACACTTCAAAACCCGAGGCCACAAACTTAAACCCTCAAGACCTTCGAAGCCGTAGGGCCCTGAGCCTTTCAAGCCCCCAATTCCCTAACCCTGAACCCGTAAAGCCCCGAGCCTGAGCAACAAAAGCCGTACAGCTCCAACTCCGAAAATGACCACCCGAAGCCCTGCTGCCAGTGCGCTCCTGCAGTCAGTGGCAGAGGACCAGCAGCGGGTGCAACAGGTCCGTGGTTGACCTGGTGCTAGGAATGATGATGATGACGATGAAGAAGACGGTGATGATGATGATGATGATGATGTTGGGGTTATATGTGGGTGGTGATCATTGCCATGGAGATGGTGATGCTGATGGCGACAGTGAAAGTGATGGTGCTGCTGTTTCTGATGCTGGCACAAGTGGCCATAGCTCTCGTGTTGCAGATGATGATGCTGGCAGGGGCAGCAGTGAGGATGCTGGTTAAGATGACGACGATGACCGTGTGGTGATGATGACTCTGATGACGACCGATGTCTGTCGTAGCAGTCGTCGTCGTCGTCCTTGTCGTCGCCGGTGCTGTGGCAGCAGCAGCTTTACATGATTGTGTCATCATCCTGTGTCAGAAGATGAGGGTCATTAGTTTCTGATGCTGCAACCCGTTCATGCGGACGGCAGGCCGTGTACATGGGCGCCCTCTCGGAGAATTCTGTGATCTCAGACTTCTTCGTGTACGACTCTCTGAGGGAGCTTCGAGTGTCCAGAGGGTCCTCGTTACGAGGTTCTTGGGCAAGGGCTGCTAGCAAAAGGCAAAGGAGAGTTGGAGTGACTGGAGTGCAACCTAGCAACACTGAACTGGTGTGATTTAGCTAGAACGGGCGAGTCGATTGATTCATGTTGAGACTGGTCCAGTGATTCGAGCAGCACTGCGGCTGGATCGACGGAAGTAGGAGAGAGAAGGAGAGATGGCCTACAACTGAATCAACCAGGGGAAGGACCCTGCCCAGAAGAAAGGAAGGGAGCTATCAACCTCAATCCCGAACTCCAAAACCTTACCCTCATCCCCAAACCTCCAAAATCGAAAACCAAACAAGATATGTCCTAAACCCAAGACCCGAAACCTTACAAGATTTTGGCTCAAGTTGATTTGTGGCCCAAGCGGAGTTCAACCAGCGCTGCCAGCTAGCCATGTGGGGTGCCGTGTCGTTCGGAATCATCGCAGTCCTTGCTTGTTGTCCGGAACTGCGAAGCAGAGCCAGCAGAGCAGACCGAGACATGTAGCATGCTGCAGACCGCAAAAGATCGCTGGCATCCGGACGACCAGATTCCTTGCGACAACAAACAGGTCTTCGGCAGAGGCCTAATGGGGCATCCTGGGAGGCAGAGACCAAGTGGCTGTTGAGCAGCGAGCGCAAGGACTACACGCACCCAGAACAAGGCTTGTTTGCGTATCCCTCCGACCACGAATTCGCCAGAGCCGCCAATCAAGTCAGATTAAATCCCAAAAGAAATTTTCGACCACTCCTTGGTTTGCTGTATGGGAAGAACATGGTGGCGCTGGGAAGCTGGCTTATGGGAGAGGCCGACTCCAGCCATTTCGTGATCCTGAACGTCCACAATGGCAATCGCGCCAGCAAGGTCATTTCTCCCGGTGTTTGGCATTTCGGTGGGCCTGATGGACGTTTCGACCAGAATGCCGCTGCCGAAGCTTGGGGCAAAGCGCTGCGCGACAACGGCTACGGGACGGCAGCTGATGGGTCGGTGTTCCGCAATCGGAATTTTCACGGAGAAAATGGAGTTGAATTTCCCAACTGGTTCATGGGAACTCGCGCAGGACACGGAGGTTGCGAATTCCAGTTCTACCACAAGCCGACCGGACAGTGGGTGGAACTGCACACGGCTGCAACCACCCGTTGACTTCAGCGGCTGCCCGACTTGGAAAATTCACATGTAGAGCTGGCTTCATGTGGTGCACGCCTGGTCTTGCAGCAGGAGGGTGCGGGATACTTGTAATGATGGGCATTTTGCTTGTTCAGTCGGGGGTAGGGACCCGAGCTGCTATAGACCTGGAACTGCAGGCCAACAATGATCGGCCTGCTGGGAACACCGCAGAGTCTTGTGTTGTGAAGTACATGTGCATTTTGTGGGTATGGGTGGTTGAAACCCTAGTGTGTGAGTCTTACTTGGAGTTCCCGTTCTCTTGTCTGCACTGGATATTCTGAATGGCGCCAAAAAGTCGGATCGGTGGCGCTGGGCCGACTGCCTTCCAGAAGGTTTCCAGTTGCGGAGGATGGTACAGGACATCCCAACCAGCCGGTAAGTCTGGATGCCTTGCGGTGAAAAGACACGAGGGTTCAAACAAAGAAGACCTTGCAAGATGAACGTGCAACTGCCGCGGCACTGAGGTCTCAGGGCGTTTTGTCGGCCTACCACCCGGACAGCCCCAACGGGGCCGTGAGCAGAGTCGAGGGATCTGCCAGACTTTGTGTTGTTGTATCATAGCCTGTCGGGATGTGGGTTCGGAGTTTAGTACTACTAGGGCCACTATGGTTCAGACTTTAGTATGTGGTTGTATAGGATAACAACCCTTTTGGTCTCAGGATTTTTTCTGAGCTATGACGGTTTCTATAATCACAACCTGCTGTATCTCTTGATCGTGAATTATGTTGTTATGGCTATGGAAGTTAAAACTGTTGTCAGCGCTCTTTGTATCAGGATGAGTGCCAGGTATGCGTCCCTCAGGGCGATGTTTCAGCGTCAAGCTCGAAGCTGCAGGACATTGCCCCCGACATGGCAGAGCGCGGGGGAGAGGAAGGCATGAAGGAGCAGAACAAGCAGGCGAGTTGGGACCAAGCACTGTCTTCCATGAGGCTTTCCGTTGGCCTCTTGATAGAACTTGAGGTTTTGATCGTCCAGCATACAGTCTCCAGTGACATGGGGGTCGAGTGGAGGCCAAATATCATCTCTGGCCTGCTCATCCGTATCTGTCCCTTCCTGCCAGAAGCCTGGCACAAGCGGTTTTGAGGGCAGCGCATTCTGGAGTCAGGGCGTCAAGGCAGTGGCAGTGTAGGAAGGTTCATGGCAGGCGCCGAATAAGACTACTTATTTCAATGACGATAGACCATAGACGCTGAATCCAATCCTGAACCCGGAACCTTGAAACTCGCTTCATGCCAACCGTTTCTAAGTTCGTCTCCTCCTTGGAGCCGGATCTGGAGCCCAATGAGGAAGGACCGCGGCCCCCAGAGGGACAAGGCATGTTCAACCCCGTACGGCCACTGAGTCAGAGTTGGGAAAGTGGCAACTGCTCTGCATGCACCCTATGTCAAATCGCAGGACATGGCCCGATCTCCTTCTACCATGTCCTCGTGCTGCGCAGCGTGCAGCACATGTGCGCCACCCTTGTTTTCGTTTCTTTCTGCGTGTTTGCGCGTGAGTGAGCGAGTGAGTGAGTGAGTGAGGCAGTTCTCGAGCTCTTGATGCAGGGGACGGTGAAATTCGTGAGGGTTGCCGGAGAAGGTTAGCCTGAAGCCTTTTGGCTCATGCCACAGCACATGAGACCATGGATGGACAGCTCTTCGCGATACGGACCCAATACAACTAATGTTGTAGCCGGAGCAGGGACAAAGATCTGCAAGCGAACGCCGAACTGATTCAATTTTTCAGAAGCACAGGGCCCGGAAGATAGGAGGAAGCTCGTCCAGAACACCAGCCCGAAGCCATTACCCGAAGTCCTGAGCTCAACCCCGAAACCGAAAACTCTTGACTCCTTGACCCGGCGTCTGAGAGCCCGCCTGCGTCGTTGGCTGCTGAAAGCTCGAACACGAAGGGGCCGCAACCCTGGAAATTTCGTGCCATACTGTCTGTTCCTGTGTCGATGAAAATGCTGGTTCAACGTTGTATAGTACCTATAATACCCCATAATGCCCCATAGTACCCTATATTACTACCATTACCCTATCATCAGCATTGTCGTAACTGGAGTTACGGTTGCTCGCCAACGCAGCCAGGAGTTGCCTCCCCATTAAGCAGAGACAGGTGAACGTAGTATGTCAGTGTTGGAGTGGCGCGGACTATACAAGGGGGTTTGGGGTCCTAGAACCTTTAGGGCTGAAGATGGTGGTGCTGGTGCTGGTGCTGGTGGTCGTGGAGGTAGTAGTGCTCGGGTTAGTACTGGTGGTTGTAGTAGTCGTGATAGTAGTGGTGGTAGTTGTGCTGCTTGTGGTGGTGGTGGTGGTGGTGGTGGCGGCGTTCGGCGTCGTAGTAGGCATCGTTGTAGTGACGCAGCAGTAGCATCAGCACCACCAGCAGCAGGAGCAGTAGGGTTAGTGGCAGTGGTCGTGGTCGTGATAGTGGTCGTGGTGGTGGCGGTAGTGAGGGTGGTGGTAGTGACTTATCCTTGTCCTCAGCATCACAATGTCCACCATCGCTGCTGCCATTGCTGCTGCCACGCTCAAGCGAAGGTGGCATCGTCCTCACAGTGTCGTCCTGCACTTGTATCATGATTTCCGACGTCATAATGACCACTGCGGCTATCATCATCACCAGCACCATCGCCATGCCATCGTGGTCATCTCAGCCCATGACTATCAGAGTTTGTTGCGCATGACAAGGCAGCGGTTTTCACCAGCAACACAAAGATTGTCCTCGTTTCAGTAAGCAATTAAATTGTGGTTACCGCAAGGGCCCCGAAATCTTCGTCACCATCACCGCCTTTATGATCAGCTCAGCTGTTCGTCACTAAGCATGTGCTTTCAGGTTGGGCATCATCATGGGCGCACCCGGCTCAGCAGCATGTGGAGCTTTTTCTGTGCACATACTTGCATGTGTTTGTATATAAGAAGGTTGAAGTTTCGTAGGTCTACATATGAGTATAACTGTATACCTAGATCTAGGTCTAGATAATTACAGATACAGGTATACATATATATATATATATATATATATATATATATATATCTCAATAGAGAAAGTAGACATATAAATATATATATATATATATATATATATATATATATAAATACAGATGCAGATCGAGACAGAGATGTAGATAAGGATACAAGTATAGACATAGGCACAGACACAGATATAGAAGCCCCCAAGGATGCGCCGAGGGGTTCGAGGAGCAGGTTCCCTGGCTTGCTAGAACTAGCTCTTGATCCTTGTCCTTGGCAGCTGAGGGTTAGGGTTTAGGGTTTAGGGAGCTCGTTTTGCTTTGAAACCTTGTTCAGGAGTCGCCGCAGCCGCCACAAGCACAAGAAAAGGCGATGTCCGTTTCCTGTAGTGGGCTGATGGGGCTGGTTGGGTGGCGAGTTATGGTCAGTACATCACAGCACAGAGCTGTGCAGGGGCTTTCGGCCCATGTGTTTAAAGCCCCAACACCAGAGTCGAGGATCCAGTAGCTAGCTTGTGCCTGAAGGCGCGAAGGCGGAGGACGGCGGCGACACTCAGGCTCTGAAGGGTGTTCTCCTCGTCATGCCCTCCCGTGCCCGTCTAAATCCCAGCGAGTTTCGACCGGCCTTCGCCTCACACGAAGGGACGGTGCTGAGTGGAGATCATACAATGCACGGCTTTTAGAGCATGCTTATGGCCCGAAATCTGTGTGCTCTTGACGCTGGGAACGCCAAGCACACTCAACCCTAAACCCCTAAACCCCGAACCAAGCAGGCGCTGCCGAGTACTCCGAGCCCCAGGGCCATGGCATGACTCCTTCGGCGCCCTCGCTTGCCTGGCCGATTTGGTGGATGATCCCTTTTAACATCAGTACAGTAGCAGTTGCAGAGGCAGTTGCCGTGGCAGTGGCAGTGGCAGTCGTAGTCGTAGTAGTAGGAGGAGGAGTAGTAGGAGTAGGGTAGTAATGGTCGTCGTAGTAGTGGTAGTAGTAGCAGTAGTAGTAGCAGTAGAAGTAGAAGTAGAAGTAGAAGTAGAAGTAGTAGTAGTAGTAGTAGTAGTAGTAGTAGTAGTAGTAGTTGTTGTTGTTGTTGTCGCCGTCGTCGTAGTAGTAGCAGCAGCAGGAGTAGTAGTAGTCGTCGTCGTGGTGGCGGTGGTGGTAGCAGTGGTAGTAAGTGGCAGTGGTATAGTAGTGTTAGCAACAGTAGCAGTCTTTATAATAACAGGACAGCTACGTGACGGCTCGTGTTTTCAAGCATGCAGAAGTAACAGTGCTTTGCCGGTGTTGTTGACTGAATATGCTCTTGCTAGAGTTGATTGTCATCGTCGCCGTGAGTGTCACTATCTTCAATGTTCTCGTCATCATCATCGTCATGGTCCTTGCTATCGTCATTACCAGTGTCACCATGCCCATTGCCACCGCCACCATCATCACCATCATCAGCAGCATCGCCATCGTCATGATCAGTAAGGCCGTCATCATCATCACCACCATCATCATCGTCATCCTCTTCATCTTAATCTTCAACATCACTTTCATCCTCACCATCATCTTCATCACCATCTTGTCTTTATCTTCATCTTCCGCTTCAGCATCATCTTCATCTTCATCTGGATCACCATCGTCGCCATCAACACCATCATCATTATCATCATCGTCGTCGTCACTTTCATCATCGTCGTCATCATCTTCATCATCAGCATCTTCATGGCCATCATCAATGCTCACCAGCATCAACAGTATAATCATAGTCATATTCGTCATCAGTGCTCGGCATCATCATCATCATCATCATCATCATCATCATCAGCCATGAAGGTAATCATCATCATCGCCATCATCATCCTCACCCCCATCATCACCAGGATCGTCATCATCATCGCCACCACCACTATCATCATCACCACCATCATCATCCTCCTCATCATCGCCGTCATGAATCGCATCATGACCATCATCGTCGCTGTTCAGCTTCACCCTCCTCCTCCTTCGCCTTCTCACATCGCCACTCGCAGCAGGAAGTGGTGACACCATGAGGCCCGACACTTTGATGCCCGCTGCTGCACGAGCCAGGTTCTATCCGGGCTACGGCTACGCTCCCACTGGAGGTGCAGAGCTGATGCTCGTCTTTCGGCAAGCTTGTGTTCTCATCATGGTCGTCAAGCCGAGCATTCAACGATGTTGCTGGCCTCGATGCTGAATGTCTTGTGGCGAAAACGGTAGAGTTTGGTGCAAGATTCTGCATGTGCCGGCATGTGCAGAAAACCGAAAGCTTGGAGTCTGAGGCCTGCCATGGGCGCACGCCATGCTTGGAACACAGCTGCCATGCCATGCGGTGCCGACCAGGTTCGATAGCTCGGTTGCCCATGCTCAGCTCGGTAGCCAAGGCCGCAGTACGGCCAGCCTGCTGATGACGGCGTGGACATGAAGGCAAACTCCTCAGCCAACCAAGTGGAAAGCTGCGCTTCCTGTGGTCATGCTGCAACTGCTCTTTGAAGTGGCCCAAGTCGACAGCATGAAGTAATTTCACCACCCGCCCGTGCCCAGAGTGGCAAAAGTCGCTGGGAATGGCGGCGGCCCAAAGCGGCCGTTTCTGCAAGTCCCTCCGCTCAGAAGGGATCGGGATTGAGTGTGCTATCGAGCCCGAGAGATTGGCTTCCATTGCGGAGACTCGCCTAGGCCTCCTGGCTCTGTGGATGCTCATGGCAACACTAACCTGGCTTTGCGGCCTCTATGCGATGGTGTACTTTACGATGCACCTGTCGGAGCACCACCACTACACTCGCTGCCGGTGTGACAGGCGCCGAGCAGGTCTGTGCATCCTGGGATATTTGACTCTCTACGTTTCTGGGCTCTTGCTCATGCTTTCTCTGTACATATTCAATGCAGACCGTGTGCCGCCAGAATTACAGGTTGTGGACCCTATGGACCCGCCGTACGGCATGGATTTCCAATTGGAAAGCCTTGGTGCTTGGACGAACATGTCGAAGGTGAGCCAACTGCGCATGGAGTACGTGCGGGGTCCAGGGGTCCCGTACTGGGAATACACCGACATAGCCGGCATCCTCTTTGGATGTTTAGTTCTCTTGCTTCCGCTGACGGCATATGTGATGGGAGACGATGGAGATGAGGACGATTGAGAGTGTGGGCCCTTCTTTTAAGATCTTGAGAGCCTGAGATGTGGTTTCATAGCTGGACTTGGCGACAGATGCCAGCTCAGCAGTCTCAGAAAGAGACAGCACAGCCATCCGAAGAAGATGCTCCAGGATACATTGAAGGGTCTTTCACGATTCAGTCTGCTCTTTCGTCTTTCCCGAGACCACATTGCATGTGTTCTCGCCAAGATGCCATGCGAAAGGTTAGTGCCAAATACCTCATGCGAAACGACTACTGTCAACTCCTCAGAAGTCGGTGTCAGTAGGTTGCTCTGCAGAGGCAGCTTGAGCTTTGTGGTTGGATGTCCATGGGTTAAAATTCAAGTGGAACCTTCCTGGGCAATGAGGATGATAGGAGGCCTTTGTGATGAAAGGGACTTTGTAACAGAGAGTCAAAAGTGTTCGAAATCGCTGAAGTGGAAGTCGGAATCTTTGGCAACTGCTCCTGCTACTACGACGACGACCACCTCTACCGCAACGGCTCTGCTACTGCTTCCGTGGCTGCTGCCGCTACCACTGCCACTGCCACTAGCACTGGCGCTGGCATTAGCACAGCACTAGCACGTCCTCTGCCTCCTTCCTCATCCTGATCATGCTTGTCCATGTTCTCAAGGTTGTCATCCTCTTACCCCTGCTCGTCCTCCTTAATCTTCATCTCTTAGATCTCGTAAGCCCTGCGCGATGATTTGAGGGCAAAGCTATCAGGTCAGACTTTCATTGACACTGGACTGCGACCGCCCGTGCCCCGGAAGCGTGGCAAAAGGATTCCCCCTGGAGCACAAATGGGCTTTCTCTTGTAGCAAAGATCTCAGATGAGATGACCAGGACATGCACGATGCAACAGCGCAACTGAACCTTAGCATATCTCGGGTGGAGCTAGACTGAGGCAGAACTTCATCCGGGATTTAGACTACCAGAACCGTTATTCAGACTATCCCAAGATCGAGCGCTTGATCAAGCTCAAGGCGCCTTTTAACGGTCACTGACGGCCTCGTGATTTGCGAATTCAGGGCTTTTGTCACGGCCTTTTGGGACGACTTTGGGTGGTTTCTAGGCCTGGGCTTTGTGGCCTGTGGCTGTTGTTTTAGTGACTAGAGTCACTAGAGCTCAGAGCTTCGGCCAAGCGGATCACATGAGGCCCATCCCCCTCCTTCTAAATTCAACCTGGGTTCAGGATGATATCTTGGCCAAGCGGGCCACGCCAGGAATGTCGCTAAAGTGCGACTTGAAGACGCTGAGCTGCAAAGACTTGACCGTAAAGGCGCTGTGGGGATCTAGAGAGGCACCAGGCCGGGGTCGAGAATCGTAAGCTTTGGTGACCAAAGCACCTGGCTACCTGCCTTCCCCGGCAGAGCTATATGCTGGCTCGAGAGTTTCTTTAGTTTCGGTAGTTTGTAGCGTCGAGTCAATGTGAGTAGCGCCAGTCTTATGGAAGTCTCTGGCAGCGCGAGTCCTCGAGACTGGGGTCCTCAAGCTCAGAGCGAGTCCGCCGTAGTTAGCAGTGCAGGTCTGTCGGGACACCACTGCCGGGCCGGTGGCTCCTTGGTCTCCTCGGGTTCGTGCAGCTCCCACCAGAGTGACCCGTCCTTTTCTTATCAAGCCACGCGCAATGCGAGAGACTTGAAGGTCTTTAGCGATGCCCTGGCCGGACACCTTCAGGTGGTGACAGCCTGCCTTTCGCAGACGGACAGCGACCTGAAAGGTGCGGCAATAGTCACTGGAACCCTTTACGTGGAGCTGGTAAGCTCCGCACAGACAGTGGCAGGAAGCTTAGCCATGACAGCTGTCAGTGCTCTGGAGAAGCTTCCGACGCTGCTTTGGGCGGCAAGGGGTCACGGACGTGAGCTGCAAGCTTGTGTCGGCCAGCTGCATGTCAGCATGGCTGGTCTACGCAAGCAGATGCAGACGGTCCGCCTTGACTACATCGATCTGCTCCATCAAACAAAGTACCTTGGGCAGTGCATGCAAGTAACACTGGACCAGATGGCAATGAGCACTATGCCAGAACCAGTCGAAGATGAGCATGGAAGCTTGGAGTGCCAAGTCCGATCCGGTTTTGAAATGACCGCAGTACAGCAGGAGTCACAGAAATACCTGGAACTCGCGCTCATGCAATTAGATAGCATGTGCAACATTTTGGAGGATTGCTCTGACTTCTGGTTGACACTGCACCAGGCCGAGCTGCAGGTCAAGAAGCTTGAGAAAGAATCCAACGTCTTGTGCGAAGGCCCTTTGGGGGGCCCAAGTCCTGAGCCTTCCAGAAGGCATGCCAGGAAAGCAGCTTTGCCGGGCTTCTGTGAACACTTACGGTCTTTCTGTGGCGTGTATTCCGGGGTCCCGCCGCCCTCTTTTAACTCACATCCATTGCCGTTGAGTGGCTCCGTCCTGCAGGAAGCCAGCAGCTCGGACATTTCCACTCGGCATCCGAACTTGCATGAAAAAGTGAGGGGAGGAGGGAAGAATGCTGGCCTAAGTGTGGGCTCGGATCCTGCACCCCAAACCTTTAGGCCCCAAACCCTGGACCCTACACCCTGAACCGGATATGGGCGTCTTGAACAGCCGGCCAAAACGCGTTGGAAGCCCAGGCACTTCGACCTAACCGGCCGGCGCCCGAGTGCACCCGGCAATAGTTCGTAATTCAGACATGACCTATGATCCGCCCAGAGAAGACGCGGGGCATGAAGCACTCTGCAGGAAGAACCTAATACAGGGGCCTCAATAATTACCTGTATATTTTTGGGGGTTCCTTGTTCTAAGTGTAGTATAACGGGCCCCGCAAAAGCCTATTCTAATTATAAAGGCCCCTATCTTATACTAGCATGATAGATCCCTTGCAGTAGCCCTTATAGTCCCCGTAAAAGAACTAAGGCCCCTTTCCTAAGGGGACGCTGAGGCCTTGGAACTAAGTTTGACGTGATCCTTATCGACCCGCCCTGGGAGGAGTGCGCTTCCCGCCGGAGCTTCTGTATGTAGTTATACAGTTATACATCATATTGTAGTAAAAGGGTTTAGGGTTTAGGGGTTTAGGGTTTAGGGGGGAATGTTATATATGGGTGGTTGTCAAAATTGGGGTCCCGTTTTGGGTACCCTAAATAATAGGTGCCGTACTATAATAGGGACCCAAAAAGGACCCTAATTTTGACAACCACCCATGTTATATTATAGTAAAACTAATACATGTTATCAAATGGAGCACATAATATACAAGGTTGCATGTCGCGTGTCAAAGAGGTCGCTGCTTTTGTCTTCTCTGTGCAGGGCGCTGTTGGAATTCGCCGGTCACTGCTCTTGTCGCGTCAGCATCGTTTCTGTCCAGCCGTCCCTCCCCGACCAGGTACAATGCAAGGGTCGCCGGGATGTACGTCCCAGACGAGGATGCGTCGCCAGACTCTGAACAGCTCCCCACACACCTCCCCTCGGCTGGATGCAGGACCTGGCTACCTGGACTCTAGAAGAGCTCAAGACTCTCAAGGCCAACGGTTGCATTTCGTTGCACGTGTCAGGCGTTTGCGCTGGTTCTTCCGGATTTCAGATGTCGGCTCGTTTCAACTCGTCGAGGGCTTTGTGCGAGATGCCAAATTGTCATTGCGTGCCGAAGCAAGGCCCCTCCAGGGGTCAAACCATCAAGCTTGTACGCTTAGCTTGTTCAAAGTTCCAATCATCTGTCTTCCAGTGACTAAGATCTGAAACTTTCGCTTTGGTTTCAGTCAGCGAAGCATGGTTGAACCGAAAACGTTCTCATACTTTGGCTTTGTAAGCTGCTTGGATATAAGCAGTGAGCGTCATGACTTGCATCTCGTCGACTTCTGGCGCAATTCACTTCGGTGTAGGTTCCATCAAAAAGGAGTGATAGGTAATCAGTAGTTTTGGGTACTTGATCACCTTGAAGGGGATGAGCTCTTCCCTGTCACACGTCGCGGCCAGATCGGAGAAATTGCCGACGCGCAGTCCTTCTTGTTCCTTTGGTGCGGCGAAACGCCTGCATCTCAGCAGACCTCGCTTGCATATGGCTGCCGTGTCGGGGCCGAGAGTTGTAGGGTTCAGACACGAGCATTTGTTTTCTGCCACGCTTACAAGAGTCAAACACAATCCCGAAACTAGTGCTGCTGTCTTTCGGTGGAATCTGAGGCACCTGGAGCACGGTCGTGAGCTCTTAAAGAAGTGGGGCTTCCGACGCATCGAGGTGCCCATGCCAGAAGCGAGTGTGGACTCTGCGAAAAGCCAACGTCTTCGAAGGATGTCTGCTGGGTGAAGACGAATCGGCAAGCCAAGCTGGATGCCAAGGGTGCCGTCAAGTGCGCTGACACGCTTTGTTTTGCTTTTGCGATCTGGGAGTTTCCGAAAATTAGGGGTACGTTATTTCAATCACGGCTCGCAAGGCACAGCATCTGCAGCCCGTGTGCGCTCAATTTGAGGAACAAAGGAGATTCAAAGCTGGATTGCCTTGGTTATCTTGGTGGTGACATGGCCTCTTGTAACTCAGGCTGTGAAATCCTTAGCAGGGTTAGCACCAGAATCTGGAGCGTTCAATGGATGGCGTCGCCAGCGTGGCCCTGATATGCACCCAACAAGCTGATCTTTATTGAACCCAGGGATTGCACTCTGACGGGAATAATTGCGATGATTATCAGATTGTCACATTGGGTTACTCCTCTGTGAAGTAGCCAGTATCATGATTAATATGACATTGCTATGGGTACACGGATTACAACGATGTGCAAAGCAATAACTACTGTTATTGCTACTGTGGATGTTACAAGTACTAATTAGTCTATGACTTTGGCATTCTACGCACTGCACAGCGGCTTCAGTGTGCGGGACGGATGTAGCTGATCGTGAGGAAGCAGCAACTAGTCAGTAATGTAGTTCCCCAGTAATCAAAGAAGAACCCTACTGATACAAGTCCCTCAGTTGTCATGGCAGGCAGCAGAGTGTCATGTATGGTGACACTTCCATCATCCAGAGAACCAAGGAGCACTGTCTCGTGGGAGTGAAGGCCAGGTGTTTTCCGCGTCACGAGGGGCCTGTGCTTGAGATGGTGAGACATTGATGAGCTGATAGACACCGACCGCAGGGCACTGTGAAGCGGTCAATAGACACCCACTTCATCCACGCAAACTGCGACGTGGACCTCATCATGGAGGACAAATGCGCATGTCCGCTACGCGCTCGCTTGCTCCAAAGGTGTTGCTCTCCTGCCAGGAGGAGAAGGGCTTCGGCTCCACTCACAAGCCCACAGAGCCCGATGCCTAGATGCTGCAGCACAGCTGAAGGCCCTCAAGGTGCAGAAGACTGCAGGAGCCCTGTGCTCTCGATACTACTACTACTACTACTACTGCTACTACTGCTATCACTACTACTACTACTACTACTACTACTACTACTACTACTACTACTACTACTACTACTACTACTACTACTACTACTACTGCTACTGCTACTGCTACTACCACTACCAGCACTACCACGACTACCACTACTACCACGACTACCTCGACTACCACCACTACCACTACTACCACTACTACAACTACTACCACTACTACCACTTCTACCACTAAGACCACTTCTACCACTACGACCACTACGACTACTACGACCACTACAGCCGCTACGACCACTACTACCACTACCACTACCTCTACCAACATGTCATGCGAAAGCGGGGGCGACAGTCACGACAAAAAGCAAGACTCCGCGAAGCAGCCATGTCCAGAAGGAGTATTGATCAGCGCTCACATGTGTGGGAGCAATACGCTGCGACTCGCGGTGTTGATGCATCGTTTGCATCTTTAGCTGCAAACTGCGATTCTGCGGTGATGCAACAACGACTAAGCGTTCTACTTGCGGCTGGGGGCTTCTCGGCTTCAAGGTCAGAGTTCTGAAAGTCCACTGGCGGCCGTGAGGGGTCAGCTTGTCGATCCTGCGATGCCGGTGCTGGTGATGTGGAGTTTTTGGACGGACACACGCATCTTGCATCTTGGCTTAAGGCTGTACGAGACTATCGAGCACTTCTGCCTTGGGCGCAGGCCGCTCTCGCCACTTTCGTCGATTTAAGGTCCAGCATTTGGTGTGTTGGCTTCTGCCGGGCACCATGATTGGGCGTCAGTGACGAGTGCTGTATTTCCCGCATGTTCGCTCTAGAGGGGTTATTAGCATGTGGGACGGCGACGACATACGACAAGTGATTTAAACTGCCGCTACCACTACCACTACTGCTACTACCACCACCACCACGACGACGACAACTACTTCTAGCACCACCGCTGCAGCTACTACTGCTACTGCTGGATCCTGTCGCTGCTGGTCCAACTTGCTCTTCGCCTCAGATTGATAGTATTTGCTACTGATCGGGATGGTACTGCGTTTGCAGTGCCAGGCGTCTAGAGCTCTTCGGCCGCGATCGGAACCTGCGAGACGGCTCCGACCCCGGCCTGCCTGTTTCATGTCTATGCCGAGCCAAAAGTCTGGTATTACCGTCTGCGTAGACTGCTTGCAGGCTATGCTTCATGTGGATGTTGCTTGTTCATAGAAGTTCTTCGGAACAGGCTTGACATGAGTGAACCTGGCGGCACCATGAACCCATTACTGTATGAGTCTGGGCTCTTGCTTGGGGCTGGAAGCCTTGCTCAAAGGCTGGCTGACTCTTGGCAATGGCCTCACCACCGATAATTGGGACAAAGAGGCAGCCGTTGGGATTCAAGGTCTTGTTGGATGCGTTCATGAGCTGCATTTCCGTAAGCATAGACTTCGCGGCAACAACTCTAGGCAAGTTGACTGTCTGGGCCTGCGCAGACCTACCTGAAGTGGTTTGAGGGCGACAAGCAGTGGCCGGAGGCGCCTCGGCAGACTGATGACAGGGGAGAACATGAACGTGGCAGCAGCAGATATGACATAAGCAGTAATGGAAGTACGAAATCCATTCAAAAGGGGTGTGTAGACAACAATATTTTGCAGTAATTTGCGTGGTGACACTAGAGTCACTAGAGAACGCTAACAGCAGGATATTTATTCACGATAAAGTCTATATATGCACCTAATTGGGCCTGAGAACTCTGCAAGGTTCCACCATGTTTATCACAACATGTTGAATATCGTTTGGTACAGAGGGTTCATTGAGGATGAGTTTTCCATCTCTACCTGAAATGTGAGATGTACATATACATAGAAGTCTGCAGCTTAGTTTTTGTTGCCGGGCTTGCCTTGCCTTCATGGGTTTCTCCTCGTCCCCACGGCTGGGGGTAGCACTCCAAACGTTTCTGGCCGGTTTGGATGTGGCCTCCACAGTCACAGGTGCAGGACTACAAGGGCGGGCGGCTGCTCGGGACCATGGATCTGCTTGTGCAGGGTTTGCTGGTGGTCTAGGGGTATCTATGTGCAAGAAGATGGTGAAGTCTCTATGATGTTGGTTGTGGCTATGTGATATAACTAGCGTAATTAATGCCGTGATTTTGTGGACTTCACGAATCCTTGGCAAGAACGCGGCCTGTCACACAACCGAAGGTCTTGGTGCAAAGCTTGGTACGTTAGGCCAGGGTACAGCAACAGGTTCGAAGGGGAGTACTTCCTCGCACACACTCGGTGCAGCAGGTTATTGCGCAATGCAGTGTCATGCAAAGACGCATGTAATGATGGCTTCACATGTCACATGTCACGGAATGCTGTTGGACCGCCACACAATGAATCGAGCTTTCTATGGCAGCTGATTGTACAGCAGTATAGGGACACGCTGTCCATCATGCAGTACGATGTCATGTAGTGTCAAGTAGGAACTGCGATGAAAACAGCTTGACTGCCCTGTGCGGTACTTCAGCGGAACTAGTGGTGCAATGTTACATGCTGTACTGTCTTTTGACAGATAGTAAGTACGACACGTGCTGTGTGTGCTACGTTCCGGAGTATTGCAGCCGAACAAGTCAAACAAATACGGAGCAGTCGTTGTCGTTCGTTTCCGTCGCGATGCCACAGAGAGATCAGCTCATGCAGCCAGGAGCATTGCAGAGATTGACGTCCTTCGACCCAAGAGCCCTGTGCGACCAGGCCCGATGTAAGTCCCGACTGTTTCCGATGTGCTTTGCTTTTGGAGCCGATCTTGTTTGCGAATACTACGACACCGCTCCATACTGTAGCACGTTTCCACCAGTTCCATGGCAATCTGCTGGAATACCAATCTATGTCCATAGTGCAAGACTGCTGTCACATGACTGTACGAAAGACGCGCCACTTGTTTTTTGCACTAGCCCATACCGTTTCTGTTGCTAGCGCTGTTGCTGCTTCCGTTTATGTGATTGATTGCTTCAAAGTATGGTATAAATCACGGAACCACTGTCACGATCGTGATCAAGTCTTCGTGTTGCTGCACACTATGCCTTTTACTGCACGTAGTGCTGTTGCGTATCTGTTGCAATTTCTTGGGAAGCTGGTTTGACAACTGCATTGCCTTGCCATAAGTTACAGTGCCCGACGTGTAACTTGCATTGCATTGAGTGGCATGACTGGATACTGCAACGTTTGATTCCATTTCATTGTGGTGCGTCTCGACACTCTTAGGGGCTCAGAAGAGCACCTAAACGTAAGAATCCTTTTTTTGGGTTTAAGTTTGCCTACAATTAAAGGGATTCCAGAACTCCCCACTGGTGAGATCCTTGTGTTTAGGTGGTCTTTTGTGTTTCTAACTCCCTCGTGACTCTGCCAAGCTGCGATGAGGCCTTACTGGGTTTTGGAATGCATTCCAGCAACTAAGATTGCGTTTTCCTCTACGCATGCATAATGTGGTTTCATTCCATGGCCCAAGAGCATAATTTCGCGACTGATTTCACAGTAGCAATTGCATACTCGTGTGCTACCAGATGTCTGTTGTCGCAGGATATGCCAGTTTAAGCCATACGATACTGCATTGGATCATGTCGCATCTGTATAGGTGTCGTAAGCCTCATTCTCCAGGGCGGAAGAGGAGCCGTACACCATCACCGCGCCGACGCGTCGGCTCGGGACCCTCGATCTTCTTTGTGTTATCGATCAGGCTCCGCAGTGCTGTGTAGAAGCAGCCCTGGGGGGTTTTGCTTGCACCGCAAGCTTGTTTGCGAGAACAGCCGAGCTTCCACAGAATTCCTCAACTCCCGACTGGGAAGATTCGCCACCACCCCGAGGTCCCAGCTCGGGAGCCGGTGGGTGGCGAGCGGCGCGGGCCTCCCGCGACTACGCCGGGGCCCCCATGGCTCAGGGGTTGCGGGGCTGGAAAAGTTTGTGAAGGGTTAGGGCGTAGGCCCAAAGGATTTGGTGCTTTTCTGGTATAGAGCATTCCACTTAGGAGTCCTTAATTCTAAGAGGTGAAGAGCTATGGACTGTCTAGATCGCCAAGGTTGCACGACCAAAGTAGGTTCCACTGTGAGCCTTGTTTGCAGAGTTTCGGACGTGCAGACTGGGACGCCGTGTTATGAGGATGAGTCATGATCGCCTGTCAGCATTGGCACGGCAACCAATGTGCAGCAAAGCTGGAAACTGGACTGGAGTGGTGGGAGCAAGCATGAGGGCACGCTGTCGCTGTCGAACCAGTTTCCCAAAGGGTCGACGAGTGACATTCCATGATGTTGAGAGCTTCAGCAACAGTGGCAACAGCATTTGCCCCACCAGACAGAGCAAGGAACACTGCGTTCACTTCCGTAGATCGAAAACGATCCAGATGCGCACCAAAACCATCCAAAACCCTCCAGCTGTCGGCAGTTCAAAGATACATTTATAGATATATACACACACGCACATATTTGGCTTCTGTGGCAGCCCGCTAGGTCCTGAGTCTTGATGAGAAGACCGCTAGTCGGCATAGTCAGAGAACTATCAAACCTAAACCTAGGTACCCTTTATGGAACGCTGATGGCTTATAGGAATGCCGCTAGGAACCTGTACAGGGACCCCGCAAAACTTAAGTAACCCAAGAATCGCGTCGCAAAGGATTACGAGGAGGATGAGAAACCGCTACCGGAGGATTTGGGCGAGATGGCTCCTCCCATTCCCAAGGAGGACGACTAGATTTCTTACGTGGAGGCCCAGGGGACTTAGCAAGTCGGTTATTAGTAGGGTTATTCTTATAATTGGGGGAACTCCCTTTAGGGTACTTATAACTCTGCTCATAACCTACCTACTAAGTCCCCTGGGCCTCTAAGTGGAGCCCAGCCCTGGTCAGCCGGAGAGGTGTTCAGTGTTGAGGTTGAGGGATAAATTTCTCCGCGTAACTCTGGGGACTCGCAAACTGGACGAGGCCGCTGCGACTGGAAGGAGACCACCGCCATGCTGCCAAGGAGTGTGAGACGGGAAAGTCTCAAGCGTCGTTGTACAAGTAGATGGTTACCTAGAACTTCTCTAGCTATGTCGTAAGTGCGTATTGGCCAGGAACTTGCCTTCGGAACAGGGCGGTGCCTGCCCTTGTGCTCACAACTTGGATTGGGAGACAGGAGATGAAGGCCAGACATTGTCTCGAGCCAGAAGAGATGGCTTGACTGCTGTTGTGGCCAAAACAGGTTCCCTGCGTGTCATTCCAAAAAGTGCCGCGGTTCGAGCTGATTTGCTTTGTGCGGGCTTGTGCTTACGATAAACCTGACTGTGCCTCAGCGTTTCTGGCAAGATTCTGAGATTCTGGCAGGCCACTATCGGCAACAGATCTGATCTGGAAGTATAGCGAGGGCTCGGCTCATGCACCCATTGCAAAGAGACGGTCAGCTGCATAAAAACACCTGAGTGGTCAAAGTCAGACCGAGTTAAAGCCGTAAGCCAATAACCCTGCCCTGTGCCTTGAGCCCCAGGGCATCAGCAAGCAAGACACTCTTTATCTATACCTTGCCTTCACTCGACAGATGTCGATCAGTACTTAGCCGCCCCAGCAAGACACAGCGCATCCTGGCACGTGGCTCTGGCGCCTTTTCCAGCGGCTGCGAGCCTTTGCTTGTTTGCTCTTTCTCCAGTTTGGGGTTTGATGTTTCCTAAACCCTAAACCCCTAAACCCCAAACCCTGTAGAGCTTCGGGGATCGATGCTTCAGGGCCCTTAAGCTTCGGCTTGCGGGCCATGAAGCCTTCAGCCAATTCTCGCAGGCTGCTCCCCATGGCGGATGCCGAAGGTGCCGTCTTCGAGCCGGGGACCATGGCTGCTAGCAACTCTTCCCTCAATAGCCTTGCAATAACTGGGAGGTGTTCTTGTATTGTAAAAGAACACGACAAACTCGTGCCAAAGGCCGCAAGCGCACATTAAACAATCCGATTCAAGACTTTTGCGAGAAACCTTTGGGATGTGCGCCTTGTGTTTTGCGCAGCAGCGTCTGAGGCCGATCGACTTTGCGGACCTGCACGAGCTGTGTCGCTGGCATGTTGACGGACCTCACGGACTTCAGCCGTTTTGCCACATGGCTGCTGGATCCATGAATGCCTGAGAAGAGGAGGTCTCTTCTCACATTCTGGGGATTTACTTTGTATTGCATGTGTTTGGATCATGGACCAGGCGAAGGTGGCGGCTCACAAGTATGCATGTGTATCAGCGATGCTGCAGAAAGTTTTGCGCCATCACTTGGAGCTTCGCATGCAAAGTGGTAGCCGTGATTTTTCAACTGAGCAAAGGACTGGTCGTTGAACGTGTACTTGCTTCCACGTCAGGCAGCATCGTGAGACAATATAGTAGTCGCAGTACTAACCTAAGATTAGTAACAATTAGCAAGATTAGTAACAAAACTAATAAGAATAGGAAGAGTGACTGGAAGTTAGATCTGCCAGGTTGGAAGCCGCACAGAGCAGCGATGCTCCCAAGGACTGATGTGCAAGAACCCTGGGCCCTTGCTTCAGAGTTGAGCTGCGTTTGCGGCTCTGCGGGGCTTAGGAATCTGTAGAAATTTCTGAAAGTTAGAAGATTTGCATACTACCGTCAAGGCCAGTCCAGGTGCACGAGGTTCTGCGGCCGCAAGTGCAGTGTTTCTGTTTAGAGTGTGCGATTTTGCTCACGGGGGTGAAACTAGGACGACCCCGTCGCAGCCGCCCTCGAGCTGGGCGTGCGGGAGACGCCGGTCCCTCAGTGCGGGAGCTGCCTGCTGCGTAGAAGCCAGGAATAGAATCCTAAGCAGTGCACATCCGTGAACCCAAACTCCCAAGCATCCCCAGACCTTGGCCTTAACCAGCTGCTGATCTTTTTTTTGGATTCCAACATGATGCACCCTCCATGTCATAGCTGTGGTGAGTCACTTGACAGCGACTGCTAGAAGTTCCCTTCAAGTGTTGTCCGAAATCCCAGACCTTGAACCATAGATCCGATTTGCTCATCCCACAAGCCCTGGGTGTGTAAAGTAGGGTTAGGGCCTCAGCCTCGAATCCGATCACCAAACCCTAAACCGCCTAAACCCTTGAGGAAGAAGGTGGCTGCCAACATTGATAGCCAGCTGCAACTCCTGGAGGAGGAGAGCGTCGCACCCTCAGGAGTTGGCAGGGTCGAAGCTTTTAGGGGTTTCTTAGACCTCGGATCCCTGCCAGGTGCGAATCGTAATAGCGATATTTCTGTCTGGAGGTCAGATCAGGTGAGGCATCGCTGAACTGCGATTTGGCTTCTCCCTGGCCATTGGTGGGAGAAGGTCTTTCTTGAGACTCAGCTGGTTGGAGGCTTTGATATTCGTGTTGTGGCAGGTTGTCCTTTGTTGTGTGGCTTTGGGTAGTTCCTAGTAATGTGGTTCGATGGCAGGCGAGCCACTCCCCAGTCAAAGCTTCAAGAATCAGTGCTGTAACTTGCTAGACCTTAAGCACAAAACCACGAGGATACCGGTCCAAGTAGTAGGCTGAATGTAAGCAGCACACAGAAAGCCCTTGCATGAACAGCAGCAGAGTGCATGTAGATCAGTAGATAGAAGCCACCTGAACCCTAAACCCAAAGCTCTGAGCCCTAAGCCCTAGTTAATTCTTTCGGCCCCTATAGTAAGGTAACAAGGAAGCCCTAAAATAGTATTGATAATTTTTAGGGCCCCTACAGTAGGGCCCTAAGACGTAGATCAAGGTGGGAGACTACGTCGCCAGCTTCGACTCTTTCCAGGCCCGATGAGTTCGACGACCTGGGCGCTGAATTTCGAGCTTTAGCCTCCCCCGCCTGCTCCTCTTCCATCTCCGAAGTAGAAGTAGTAGAAGAAGTAGCAGTAGTAGCAGCAGTGGCATTCGCAGTACTACTACTACTACTACTACTACTACTACTACTACTACTACTGCTACTGCTACTGCTACTACTACTACTACTACTGCTACTACTACTACTACTACTACTACTACTACTAAGACTACTACTACGACTACTACTACTGTTATTGTTATTATTATTATTGCTACTACTACTACTACTACTACTACTACTACTACTACTACTACTACTACTACTGCAACAACTACGGCTACTTCTACTACTACTACTACTACTACTGCTACTACTGCTACTACTGCTGCTACTACTACTACTACTAGTACTACTACTACTACTACTACTACTACTACTACTACTACTACTACTACTACTACTACTCCTGCTGCTGCTGCTGCTGCTGCTGCTGCTGCTGCACGACTACTAGCACTGATACTCATCGCGATCGAAATATCATCGTTTTGATGTCGATCTGTACTAGTGATGCGTATGATAGCAGTAGTACCTTTACCGCCGCTAGCAAAGGTTGATGATCATATTGATAAGCATAGCTAGACGGCTTAGATTAAAGCAATGGCAAAACTGAGATTAAGCGAAGGATAACGCTGAGGGCAATCATGCTGAGAGGACTAGTGGCAGAGCTACGACGCAAACACAGACCGAATCGCCCCTGTAATGACTTGGGGTGGGTGGATGTGCATCTTAAGGGTTGGTGACTTAGAACGTGCGGCAGAGCCCATAGTTTGCCAGCAGTTGTTTTTATGGAGTATTTATGCTTTGTTTCTATTTTTAAATGAACTCAGGATTTGCCGCTTTGGGAGAATTTTACAGATGGTCATGCTTTCCCAAAGACGCCGAGGGAGTTCAGAAGGCCTGAGCACTACGAACCTGCCAAGCGTAAAGCCTATGATGACTTATATAAAATTCACATTTTTGTGGACAACATGGAACAGTTGCATACTTTTGCAGATGTTGTGAATGAACAAACACATTGTGTTTTCGATTTCGTCTGCTTTGCACAATTTTGCAAGAACGTTCGATAATTATGTATTGAGAATGTAAATCTCTTTAAAGAAGGGCTTTCCCTGAAACATTCGAATATTCCACGAGCATACAACATGTTCTGCACTTTGACAGTTTCTCAAAGCTTCTGGACCCCATTCCACTACCCGTGGCCTTTTCCTCGGCGCCTGTCGGAAATCATACCAAACTTGTATAACTTCGACAAAAACTGAAATTCTCTTCTTCGTATAAGCTTCTGGCAGCACATACAAAGCCACAAGCTTAGCGAGACTGCTTCAGCGACCAGTGATCGTCACTGTGCGTCCACAAAGCGTATCATCGAGCCCCACGCAGCTTCAGGCTCGGAATCAACCTCAAGCCCGATCTTGGAACCTTTCCACAGTCATCTGATGGAAGGACCTGCACCAAGAGATTCTAGCCACCGACGCTGTGCTGGAGAAGCGAAGCTCTCGGTACTGGGGCTGTGGCAGGGGTTGACGCGAGGTTTAGGGAGCTCTCAGTAGGGGCCCGAACGGACAGTTCTTCTTCCGCTAAGGATGGAGAGGCTACTCGGGACGTCTCTCCGGCTTGCCTTTCCACCTCAGCGCTCATTGCAAGAGGGACAGGAGCCGGGCATGAAACCGCGCCTTGGATCGCGTTTCGGTTCAATTCTCCCGCAGCACCAGAGCATGGCAGGTTCCAGTCCGACCTCTCCACGATCTCGGATGAGATTCGCATGTTGCAGGCATGTTGCCCGGGATGTGATTGGCCTAGAAAATATCCTAGCCTAGAAGAGACCGGAAAAAATGACTGGCTTCCAGTTGCGGTGTTCCGTCTCCAAAGCTTGAACCCGGGAGGGCGACTCTCTCCAGATGAACTTGAAGTTGCGCGGGCCACGGCGGGATTATCTGTCATACGAACCGCGCACGACTCCAGTTGTGGTGTAGTCATGCGTTGCAGCTCATTGGCTCAGCAATCGGCGGTTCAACTCCTGATCTCTCCTTCTTTTGCCACATGCCCGAGCAGAGAGGATATCCAGCCATGGACTCTGCTTTGGCTTCTAGTGGCTTGTGGGCAGCAAACGCTGTTTAGAGCCTTGGCCACGGGTCGGTGCCTTGCAGTACTAATAGAAAAGTACTGATACTAATGCTATTGCTCAGGCTAAGGGTAAGGCGGTAAGGCTAAGACTAAGGCCAAGACTAAGGCTAAGGCTAGGGGCAAGGCTAAGGCTAAGGCTAAGTTTCATGCTAACGCTGATGCTACTGCTTATGCTGATACCAATACGAACGCAGCAGCCGAGGGTGTTCCATGACCGTCTCGCGCGACCTCTGCGTCAATGGGAAGCTTGCAGGCGACTACTCGGGGTCGAGCCGGCAGGACCGTCGAGGGCAACTGCGATGCAAGGAAGAGATGCACATGATACGGGGTGGTGTATGGCAAAGTCTTATATGACACTTCCCTCGACTGCCGATCATTGCCATTTCACACGGACGTTCAAAACCTTTCAGTAGACTCTGATAGACATGGTCCAAGCAGCGAGACGAACAGAAGAGCTTATCATCATTCCACTCTTCAGAATCAAAGGCAACAAGATAAAGAAGACATCAATCCAGACATCTCATCGGTTCTCCTACCAACTTTCGGCGGGAGCACAACGGTCATGTAATGGCAGCAGTGCGCACGTGTTGTTGTCGTTGTCGCGGCTAAACAAGTGATATGCAGAAGGACTGGTGATCAATGAACAGCATGCAGATTACAAGTAGTACCCATAGTGTCAACGGTGGGTAGCAACAGCAACGGCAGCCGTAGTAACATCCGACATACTACAACAGCAACTAGCGAACTACTTCGTCGTAACCCAACAGCAGTAGTAGTAGTAGTAGTAGTAGTAGTAGTAGTAGTAGTAGTAGTAGTAGTAGTAGTAGTAGTAGTAGTAGTAGTAGTAGTAGTAGTAGTAGTCATCTGCTGTCAGCTTTCCTGCCACATTTGTTGTTGCTTTCCCGACTCCTAGGCCCGGTGACGGCGAAGGAGCCGGCAGTTCGCGTGAAGGCCTGGTCCACACCGGAGCCGGCGCAGGAGTCTCGGGCAAGTTCTCGACCTGAAGATAAGAAATCACAGCCAACTCAATCCCTCATTCGTTTTTTTTAGTCTTCTTCGTGTCCTAACTTAAAGCCCCAAAGGCCGCAAACCGCACCCTAACGCCGTGACATTGGATGCCGACCTGAGGCCATCGATGTCCGTCAGCCCGTGGAGATCAGCTTGGAGGAGCAGGTCCGGGTGCTCCACGGCGTGCCTTTGTCGCCCATCCTCGTCGGAGGCCAGCCAGAATCTGAGCCGCACGCGGGGAAGGTTTTGTTTTTGTCATGTTCGTAGCTTCGTCATGCTCCTCCTCGTCAGCATGTGTCAGTTTATCCACTCGACTGCCTATGTTTCTGGATGTAGATGTCTCTTACGTAGTGCCGCATGGCATGTAACGGACTAGTGACACTGGCTTTAATCAAGCTGTGTTAAGCTGATACGACGCTGCCAGTACTGCGTGTCGCATTTCAAGGACTTCGCAGGCTACGGCCAGAACCCTCCGAGCGAAGGAGCCGGCGTTAACCACTGCAGAGCCGCCATCGCAGTATCAAGCTTGCAAAAATGGGCCCCAATTTTATGCAAAGTTAGCCGAAGCTCGACAAAAATGCCCGATCTCGGGATCATGGCTCGTCCTCTGCCAGGAGATAGCTGGGAGCTTGACGTCATGGCCGAGCAGGGCGGATATGAGATCTGCCCCTTCCTCAGCTGCAATTGCTGCTCCCCACACCTTTGTAGATGGTAGTATAATATGGCGCAGTCTACTAGGATATGATACAATCTAGTACGGCAGTATAACTATTGGAGCATAGCAAAGCGTAGCACAGTTTAGGCAAAACCGTACATCTAGTATTCTACTCCTCCTGGGATGCACCTGCGCAGGCTTTGCGGGAGGCTGCAATCCTCACCACGGAATCCTAAGTGTGTACATGGATGGCGCTCTCATCGGCGATGTGGACCAATACAGCCTGTTCAACATCTGCCCGCAGGAGCACATCCTTTACTGGGAATGCCTGGCCGCTGGCCAGCACACCTTGACCGGAACGGTTCGCTGCAAACGCGCAGAGTCCCGCAACTACTGGATCTGCTTGCGTCCTGGTCTTAGTGGTTTGGGACAGCATCGCATCGAGTGCTCTCGTTTTCAATCGAGAGATTGCTCGGACGATTGCTCTGCAGTTTAGCCTGCCACGGTCTGGGGTTGGTTTGTTGCGTTGCAGCTACAGGTGGTCTGTTCTTAGGTTCCGCGAAGCAGAAGGCAGAAGCCGAAAGTCCAAGGACTTAGAAAATGAGAAGGCAGGAGGAAAGGAGAGAGCAATGGCCACAGGGCATGAACTGCCTTCGAATCTCACTGCAACGATGGACAGACATCGCAAAGCTATCCCCCGCCTCCTACAGCTAAGTTATTGACGGTGCAGAGCAGCAAGTAGGCCTGGGCACCGATCCCAAAGGTGAAATCACGCTTCGACCCATCTCGAGCCGCCTTACCCTGGCGCTGCTCCTGCAGGCACTGCAGGGCTTGTAGTGGCGAGTTTCGCCTGTCGAATCTTGCAGTGCAGCTGTAAAGGATACGATACTACAAGGCATTGTCCAACAACAGTGTCGAAACTCACCAAAGAAGGCAGTGTCCTCAGGACTGGACGAAAAGTATTGTGCTGGGCTTCTGCATTCTCATCCTCGGGCTTTGTTCGATCATGCAGAAAAGCCCTGTGAAAGTTGTTGCACATGCAGCTGTGGTCACAGATGAAGCCCAAGGCTCTAGCAGCCGGCATGTTTCTCCCCAATGCTAGATTACGAGGACCTGCACCAAATAGCGTAAGTGTGGTTTTGGTGCTATGTCCTATCATCCGCACAGTACGGGGTGCTCATGCAGGCAGCCTGGCTCGGAGACGAGCTGGAAGTGAAGTGCACAGGAATGGCAGGCGCAGTTTTTTGAAACCCACGAAGCCACGAACCTCAAACCCACAGACCTGGAACTTGTCAACAGCTCGTCATGTGAGTAAACCTTGTTTGGCTACTCCCCAGGCAATGACATCGCCGTCTTCATCTGTGATACGAATGCCACAGTTGGACAACTACGAAGAAAAGCCGCAGACACACTCACGTATGCATGGCAGATCGCAGAGTCCCCAGCATGACTCCACTCATCGCCTCGTGGCTTTAGCACCCTGTCTCGCATTCTGAGGCCTTGACATTGCCCCACAGCAAACTTCTGCGTGAGGAAGACGACCAAAGCCTCTTGGTGTCCGTCCTTGGAATGGAATCGGACAAGCCTTGAAAAGCTTCAGAATAGACCTGTGGATCAAACCACGGGGCAGTGTCGTGCAGCTCTTGCTTGCCGACAGTCTGTGGGACCATCAGTCCTACATGTACATAGCAATCACAGCGGCTCGAATTACGATCTGCTGCATCTCCACAGTGCCGACAAGGGGCCGGAGACTGCGTGCCGCGGTCACAAATCTTGGAAGCTTTCCATGCAGTCGTTGAGTGAGCTGAGCAACTGGCAGCCGGCAGCCGCCATCGAGGCAAAATCGTCGGGCATTGCAGTCACTCATGTCCGACTACGCCGTGCGCCCAGATAGGTTGACCAGCACCCATCGGCAGTGGGTCCTTCCCGGTCCTTCCTGCGATACGGAGTGCGAGCAATGCTGACGGAGTCCTAGTGACAGCAGAGAGTGCATCTTCTACGCCAGGTTCAAGCTCCCACGAAGAGTGCAACTCCCGGAACTCAAACCAGTCCAGAGTCCAAAGCTCATGGTGTGTTGAGCGGACCCCTCCGGAGCCCCAGCTTCGAGAACATCCAACGACTAAAGTCCGACCACGGGAGGGCCTGGCCTCCGGCCTCAAGTGCTCCACAGGTGAGTGGTTGTCAAAATTATGGTCCCTTCTGGGGTCCCTAATGTACTAATTACGGCACCTACTATTTAGGGTACCCAAAAAGGGACCACCCAGGTGGGTTCCGTGGTGGTGAGCCCACAGCTCGTCCGACAGATCTGCGAGGAGGAGATCAACGAGGTACAGCTTTGCCTCTCAGCTTTTCTTACCTTTGGTTAGTAGCGAATGGTGGAATGGTAGTAATAGTAGTTATAATTGTACCCCATTCCTCCATTCCCTACTAACCAAAGGTAAGTTTTTCGCTCTCTTCAGCTTTCAACTTGCTGTCTCGAGGCCGCCCCCCGTCCCCGTGTCCAAATTCACAAACTCTTTCCACGCCCGTTGCCAGGCTTATCTCGGTCACCTCTCTGAGCTGAACAAGAAGCCGGGCCCTTGGCGCAACCATCGTCTTAGGGGTTCAGGGTTTGGGGCTTAGGTAGGGTTTAGGGCTTTGGGCTTATTCTTTTGTATAGGGTTTAGGGGTTTCAAGATTCGTGAGATCATACCCGTACTTGTCACTATAAGCAAGACTCTCATGATAACTGCAGCGCAGTTGGGGGATTGCTGCTTGGTGCATCAAGCATGAGCAGTTGCAAAATCGCTCGCGTCCTCTGAAATCGTCACCGGTGCCATCTTGCAGCTGACCCGAAACCCAAGAATCCTAAGCCCAGTCCTGCTGTGCCCTGGGCCTCGGACCCTGGTACCTTCAACTATCACTCTTTGGGTGCCAGGCTCGACCACGTAAAGCAGCAGGAGATGCAGAAGTTGTCGGCCACCTGGGCAATCCCTTCTCGAGTCAAAGCACGGTTTGGGGTCGAAGCAGAAGGGATCTCACCAGTTTGGACCCGGCTTATACGATTACTTCATAGCAGTGAATCTACAGCACTATCAGGCTCATCGGCTTCCATTCCACACGAGTCTGCAGCATGTCCTGGCCAATCGGCAGACGGTTTGCGGTTCGACTCAACCAGAGATCAATATCGTGATAATCTGATATCGTACAGCACAACAAAAACAGCATGTAAACGAAACTGACTTAACCCACCCTAACAAAAGCAATTAATGCACTTGAAGTAGAATCTTTACATAGCATATAGCGAAACGAGGATCGGACATGTTTTGCATGAACAGCGACATGCAATAAGGGCACAACACCCGACCGGCCCGACAGTTCGCAGTATGCTGTCCACTTGCAGACCACCTAAGATTTAGGGTTTAGGGTTCTCTCCCGCGGTTTACTCCCCCACGGCTCCGCCCCGAACCGTCCGAGAATGATGGTTTCACAAACGTTTCCCGGCGAGGTTGTTCCTCCGCTCGTTTACATTCCGTAGGGGATGCGAAGAACACTTTATCCCGCGAGTGTTAAACACCAAAATTCCGAAAATGTACATGAAGGATGCGACACATGTTCTTCTAAGAGCATCATAGTCTTCGCAACTCTGGACGACACCAGCTTCCCTATCTTCTGTATGTGCACGTGCCCTGTAACAGCGTCAACAGCCAAAAAGCATCTCCCTCTTTATATGCGTATAGAAATACACACAGTCTGCATACATAGATAGAGAACAAATAGATGCAGGGAGGTACAAAGACAGATAAACAGCCCAAGGCCCAGCTGCGCGCAATCCGCGCCGGAGCTGGAGAAACTTCGCACCAAGGTGCGAGCAGAGGTTTTGCAGGGTTTAGGGTTCGGGGTTCAGGGAACCACAGGGAGAAGTTCTTTCCCGCACCTCAGATCCCTGAGAACCAGGCTGTGGCAAGAATCAAAGACTTCCTGCTGCAGAAGATCAATTCACTCAAGAAGCCAAGGAGAGGGTTTCAGACCGATAACTCATGATAACCGGTGCTCGAGAATCGTGGCCGCAAGACTGCTGCAACACTCTTTGTTTTTGGAGCGATCCGGATAGACTACTTGTTCTCCGTCCATTCTTGCAACTAACCCATGGCGGGCAGCGTCGACGCACGGGGAGTCGTACGAAGATGGAACAAACTCAGGCTTAGGGTTTAAGGATTTTGCGTCCAGGGTCCGGAGCACGAGACGCCAATCATTTAGATGTGCGGAACAGGCGATGAGAGGTCAGAGGTCTGGATGCAGCGTCGGAAGCCGGGTCTCTGTTTAAGTTGGGGGCTTCCCATCGAGGACGAACCTGCAAATATTGCAGAGAAACGTGCTGGTGCGGTTCAAGTCCATGACACAGTCACGCGGCTGCTGATCATTCTAGTTTATGATTGCCTTGTTGCTCGATGTTGTTGTCCATGACGAAGCGCCATGCTGCTGACGGGGGTATTCCCAGGTTTCTCCAAGAGCATCACAGCGCTGTGGCGGACGAGGTGAAGATGCACTACGTTGCCACAATGAGCCTGGGCCTTGGGATGCTCAGAATTGCAAAATCACGCAGTGTTCGCAGCGTTTTCGCGCGACATTGCAAAAGCTATGCCAGCTGTGTGAGTTGCCAGGTGCTGTGTACCTGAAGCAGCTGGTCACTTAAATGGCTGAGAGTTGTTTGCTGTCCGCCGTAATTATGTGTGTAAGCGTGTAGCACTTCTTGAGCATGCTTTCCCATTTTGGCGACAGAAGTTTGCATCTGTTTGCAGAACTATGTTGCGCGAATGCTGCCGAGGTTTCGCACATACGTCACATCCTTGCAGAAGCTTGAACTCGAGTACTCCCCGACGAAGGCTCCACAAGGGCTCGACTTTGTGGCTCTCTGGCGTCTATTCTTAAGCGAGCCCAAAGCTGCGAGCCTCCCACCACATTCCTTTGTGAGTCCGATCTCCTGGTCACCAACGAGGGCCAGTCTGGCGCAGGCCAGGGGGTTTTGTGTTTCGGGGCTGAGAGATGAAGCAGGAGGAGAGGATCATACCGACAGTGACGACGGCGGTGATAAGGATGTGGAGCAGCTGGTCATCTCATGCTGATCAAAAACTACAAGAGCTTCTTAGTACAATCTTCTGTGGAACACGGCTGATTCATCAACTCAGTGCACTGGCAAGTCTTGCTGAAGGCTGGTAGTAAAGGGGTCTCGTCGACAGATTCTGGGAATGCTTGCGGCCAAAACGACGGCAGGGGGCCTTTGAAGGTTGCATTCTTGTTGATATCCTCAGGTTCCGATTCCTGCCCGCCGATACTGGCGTTGCAAAACCAGAACCATACCTGCAAAAATGCCCTGGTGAGGACGGCTCTGGGACAACTTGGGCCTGGGTCGAAGCTCACGCCTTAGTGGGAGAGGATGTGGTTCGGCCGTCGGAGCCCTTGGTCAGGGATAGCTCGGAGCGTCAGATGCCCGAACGTCTTGCAGAAGTGTGTGTTTCCATCCCCCGCCGCCACGAGCTCAAACGAGAGTTCGTAGGGAGAGATTCTGCGTGATGTCAACGTGTTGGGCTGAGACCTCGCTTCTTCGCAGACTCTCCCTTCAGCGAAGACCGAAATTGTGACAGACCGTGGAAAGAAGGTATGTCGGACAGATTAAGTCTGTGGGCGCCGCGCCTGGCACCCGGATGCAGAAACGCCAGCATGGTGTGTTGACCGGCTGATGTTGATGAGGTATGGGTTCATTGCATGCGAAGATCTCCGCGATTCGTTCACCCGAGATGTGTATGTGAGTCGTACAGCCTCGCACTTACTGCCTTGTGGCTGGTTCATAAGATTCAAGCACACCTGCATAATTCTGCTGTTTCCCATGGTTTGTCGATGTAGGCCGTTGCACTTGAGGTTTATGCGGGCAAGTGGGAAGTGGGAACGGTGGTGAGCTTCACTGTAGTGGTGAACGACAAAGGCACCGATCGACTCATTAGGCTTGTGCTGGCAGCTGCCTGTGACACTTGCACATGGAGCTGGGCTTCGGCAGGGAAGCCACAGGCGAGGGATGTGCAGCAGATTGAGCACGCTGATCATGAGATCGCTGTTGAGACCTCGTGCCACCCTCGGCCACCATTCCAGACACTGCCGCACTCCTTCATGCGCCTTTTGCAAGGTCGGACCAAGCCTCAACTCGAAGGCCATCATCAAGTTGGGCCGATCTGCTGGATGATGGTGATGAGGACAGGGCGCTGCTGCCTGTTCCTAACTGCACTATGAACCTTCAGCTGTCCAGGAGCCTTGTCCCAAGAGTGTTTCCACGCTGATCCAGGCCAGGCCTTCCCCGTGAGCTTGGCTTGCAAATGCGAGTGCCAACGCCTTTACAGGAGTACAACGTGGACCCAAGTCTATCGGGCTTTGAGCGCTTGGATGCTCTTGAGACTGCGATTGCCGAGAACCACCCGGAGACAATGGAAGGTCCGCCAGCACAGGCGGAGGTCGTGCACGTCCCGACCGGCACGCAGCTTAGGCAAGATGAGAGCAGGCCGGGTACCCTGGCACATCGTGGCACCTGCAATGTGTTGGACCCGAAGCCGGTTGTCATTGCTGATGGTTGCGTTTACAGGCTATTATCCCTGCCGCTGACGGCGCTGTCATGCGGGCGCATGGCTCCCAGTGGCACCAAGGCATAGCTTCGCTTTGACAGATGCAGGTGGCATTGTGCCGGATTGAGGTGCGGACACTTTGGATGCCCCCGAAACCAGGTTGGAGTGCTTTTTCAGAGAAAGGGCTGGGCGACATGCACAGCCAATCCAATGCAAAAGGCGTCGCGTGAGCCAAGCACAGGCAATTGCCGGCAGGCCGGAAGTGGTTTCAAACGTTTTCCGCAAGCAAGGACAATTCCGAAGCCTTGCGCAGGGTCATGGCGGCTTTGGTGGAGGCGCAAAAGGCGCTGTTCACCTGCTGAGCGTGTTTGGGTGTGGATGCAATGTGGATTCAGCGGCCAGGCTCCAGTGAACGATGCGCCTTCCACGCCACGTTGGCCGTCTCGCGACGAAGTGCAGCAGTCAAAGCGGCAGCACCAGTCACCGGGACTGTGGCTACAGACAGCGAGCCGAGTGCCACGCCCCGGCCAGTCGTGGTGGCTTGAGGACTGGAACCAGCCCGTAGACGGAAGCCGGAGGGGGGAATCGACACGCCAATGGCCCAGACCAAAGGCGTATTGGGAGGAAGCACAGTGGGAGGGCTGGGACGATGGATGTTGGACACGCAACAGCTGGCACGAGTGGCGCGGATGTGAGGCCGGGTTTTAAGTATGCACGCATGTTCGTCTCCTTCCCTTGCCCTGTTCATATGTCTGCGTCAGCGAAGCAAATACAATGCAAGGACATGTATCGGTTTTCATGCTATATGCGCATACTCGTACTGACATGGTTTGTTCGATGGTGTCGACAGACCTTGGTGAGAATCGCCTGCACTGACCGACTTTTTCTGGTTTGCAAGTGCAGGCAAGAAGCTGGAACGGATGGAGCCAGAGGAAGCCACGGCGGCCAGCACCCAAGCTTCAGTCGCCAGTAGCATGATGATTTCGCCCGTGATCACTTGCCGCTCGAGAAGGCCGCCACTTCAAGCTCGAAAGGGCAGTAATCAGGCAGCACCTGAAGCACAGGGTGAGTAGCACACAGGCATTTATTCTTAGTCAAACGAGATTATGTGCCTTGCAGATCGCTGCTTTGACAAGCTCATCTTCGTCATCCATGCCGTTTCCACCGCCACAGGCAGGCATAAGTTTCATGCGGTTTTCATCCCTGTGCTGGAAACTTGGCTTTCCGGACTGGGCAGGATCACACTGGTGGCAAAGGAGGTCGAATGTACGTGCTGAATGAGCAGTATCGATATCATTCGATATCAGCGACACTCTTGGTACAGGAGACGGCCGAGCTCCGAGGGCATGGCGCAGGTATCAGCAACGGAAGGTCTGCGAAGAATGCACAGCAGATAGTCCTAGTAAGCATGTCTTAGTAGTGTTTACTGTTTGCACTGTTGTGCATCCTGCTGCAAGTGCTGTCTTTTTGCCATGGCAGGCCGAATCGAGCAACGGCAAGGGATCTGGACGCGGTCAACACTGGCAGGCAAGCACGTTGAAGGTTGCGAATGCCTTCTAGATCCATCTTGCAAGTGCTGTGGCGGACTGAAGCCCCGGAGGCCCAGCGCCGCCAGCATGGCTGGCACTCCAAGTAGTGGTTGCAGTCGGACGGTATCGGCACTTGGCAGATTGACACAGCGTCGCCCTGTACAGCTGGGTCAGACCTGTGACAGACTCGTCCGAAGATGGCAGCAGTAGCTGGTTGCCGGTTATGTGTCAGCCACAAGGTCTTGAACGGAAGCGTGTGTTGCTCTCCCTCGACCCCCGGGGCTCAAAATTCTCGTTTTCGTAGATGTTAAAGGCCTCGCGATATAGTGCGACGGTTTCTGCATGTTTTGCAGGTTGACACCGTCGCCCTGCATAGCTGGGTCAGACCTCTCGTGACAGAATGCAGGGCCGGTCTTCCAGTTTGACGGCCGAGCATCGCCCAAAGTGGCTTGCGGAGCTCCTGCTGTGACAAGCTTAAGGCTTCGGAAGATCAGAAAATCCACACACCCAATCGCAGAACCGCGGGAGTGCTGTGTGAGGATGAAGTGTGTCTAGTGGACCTCTAGCATGCTCGATGCTCTCAGTCTGACAGCTTCTGACCGCAGCAAGGCGTTCAGCTGAAGGACAAGGGCAACGTCTTTTCCCTTTCAGGCCCCACTGCGGCTGCGGCAAATTCTTGTGCCATGCATGCAGTCTGCTAGCTGCGAGCCTTGCATGACTTGGAGACTCCGCCACCTTCAAACCTATCAAAACAGTCATCTCAGTAGAGGGGTGTTGGGGGGTGGGGGGCGGCATCAACCTAAGCTAAGAGTAGCATCTTCGGAGCAGACTCGCCGCAGGACGTAAGCGGAGCGCTGCATTGCTGAAGAAAAGATTCTGGGTGGGCGTTGTAAAAGCCACATGGACCCGAAGATTCGACAATCTCTTTCAAGCATCATTCTGGGAGTGTTGCAATGGCGTGCAGCATGCTGCTTACGGCCATCTCATTCTTCACGGCGCTGCTGGCCGAGTGGCATAGCCTGTGTTATTTCCGTGACATGCGAGGTCCCATTCGATGCAGAAGTCTAATCGTCTAGTTCATGCAAGCTGTACGAATTCACAGCAGATGGTCACTTGCCCTTCCTTCAAAGTTCCCACGTGACTGCGCATCGAAGCCAATTAAAGGCAGCTTTTATTCGAAGCTCTCAGGCAACTAGGGGAAGAAAGATCTTGGGGATTAGGGCTGCCGGATTCTTGGGGTTGTGGGAGTGGCAGAGCTCTGCGAGCCGACCCAGGCTATCCGAGCATCTCTCCCTTCAGGCGAAACCCCCTCCCTCACAAGTCCCGAAGCTTTGAAGCTCGCCACATCCGTTTCTGCAAAGATCATGGAAAGCTCATCCATTTCCCTCTTCAGATCCTGACAAAAGCACCTGCTTCCCGAGCGTGGAACCCTCCATAGTCAGGAGCCTGGTCCCAAACTCTGAGGGGCAGCAACGCCTCAAAACCCCAGCATGCCTTCGCCCCTCTACCCCTAAGTCCAACGCCTCTACACACATCCCTGCCCCTTCCCCAGAACCTAAACCCTAAACAGTGAACCCCAAAGCCTAAACCCTAAAGCCTAGACTAGACTTGAGTCTACACCGTGCTTAAACCCGACTTTAAACCCTTCTCAAAACCCCGGGCCCTGAATGGCTCCCAAAACCGTCGAAGAGGTTGGCCGGTGCAGCCCTGGGCTTCGGGCCGGCTATTCTCTACGAAGCTTTGGGTGCATGGTTCAGGGTTTAGGGGTTAAGTTAAGGTTTAGTGTTCAGGGTTCAGTGTTCAGGGTTTAGGGTTCAGGGTTTAGGGTTTAAGGTTTAGGGTTCAGGGTTCAAGGTTTAGGGTTCAGGGTCTAGGGTTTAGAGTTTAAGGTTTAGGGTTCAAGGTTTGGGGTTTTAGGGTTTAAGGTTTAGGGTTCAAGGGTTGGGTTTTAGAGTTTAAGGTTTAGGGTTCAGGGTTTAGGGTTTCGGGTTTTAGGTTTAGGGTTCAGGGTTTAGGATTTAGTTTAAGGTTTAGGGTTCAAGGTTTAGGGTTCAGGGTTTAGGGTTCAGGGTCCAGGGTTTAGGGTTCAGGGTTTCGGGTTCAGGGTTTAGGGGCTGTTGTCACGTTTACTGGTTCTGTTGGTGGCCTCAGGTTTTGGTCTTCGGGTTTTGGGTCTGGTGATGGGAGTGTGAGATTTTTTCTCTCGGAGCCTGGGAATGAAGGGTTCGTCTCCGTTTCGCCTTTCTGCGGGGTTCATTTCAGACTTTACCTCTAGACCCGGCGCATGGACTGCTCAACCCGTGGTAGGCAAGAATCCGTGTGTCGTATAGTCACACATACATCCCGATCACTGTCGAAATCTGCAAACTTCCGGCCTTGCGATTCAGAACCTAAGGCTGCGACACATGATTTTATATGCATTCTGGTATGTCTTTCTGGTCTATCGTATCTGTATGCCAAACCGACGAAAACTCTGCCGGCTCTGCCCGGACATTCGGAAACGAATTTTTAAGACGAAGGCCATCGCCGTAATGAAGCTCGCAGCCCACATCACCTCGACTCCATGGCTAAATCCAGTGACAACAATCATCATGTGCATGGCCATGGTACGGTGGGCCTTGACAGCACCTACTTCCAAGCCGTGCCTGTCCGTCGAAATCATGTTGAGCATGGTAGTTGACAAAACCTATGTCAGTCCGACTTAATGTGCCCAAAGGCCCTGAAATTCAAGACCTCAATGCCGTAAACCCCGAAGCTGAAGTTCAAGATTTCATACCTTCAGAACGCACTCAGCGTCCCCCCCGATAACAAACTCCCGAAACATCTGGACCTACCCTAAACCCTACAGTGACTCCTGACGCCCTCTCCCTCGTCGTAGATCCGAAACCTAAGCCCACTAAGCGGACCACGAATCTGAGGAGATCTCCTGGCAGCTCTGCGCCGTCTTCGGGCTGACGACCGGGGCTCTGGAGTCGGCGGCGCTCAGCCTTTGTACGGTATATGTAATAATACGTTGCATGTTGTATACTATACGTTGGTACGAAATGGTATAGTTTAGACTATACTATGATATGTGCATGTGTATATCCATAATATAGCCCAAGCAGGATGCCATGTGGTAAAGACTCGGGCAAACCTCACGTTCGCAGTCGTCATGTACGGCATGGAATGTGGTACCATATGTACATTGTCTTTCTCGTGTTTACACAATTTTGTCGCTTGGGGGAGGCCTTCACTCCAGGTCCTCCGACGAGTGAGTTCATGATCGGCACTTGCAATCCTTCGGGGATTTCAAACAAGTTCGAGGTCATCACGACGCTTCCTTGTGGGATTTGGAACGTCGCAGAAACTCAGGCTAGCTCCGATCAGCTGGCATCTTTTAGGCGCTTTGTCAAAAGTACAGGGCGGCTACAATCACACAATCGGTGGGTGACAAGTGGCGCTCCCGCGCCCTTGCGAGCTGGATCCTCCACGTCCGGGGCATGGACAGGGGTTCTTCAGCTCTCTAGCTATCCATCGAGGTCAGTGTCAATACCGTGGCCCAGTTCACAGTTCCAGAGTGGTCGAGTATTAGTATCAGCGTTTCATGTGGGCGCAGTCCGTGTTACAGGAGCTGTCGTCTACGGCTACCCAACAGGCCCTACCCATTCGAATCCCAGGGCCTTGACGAATTCCTTGCTTCAGCCTATCACACATGAGGTGGTGTGTGGCTTGCAGGGGCCGAGGTACGTGGCGGGCGATTTCAACTGCATCCCAGGCGCAGTTGAGGAGATGGAGGTTTGGACTTCGCGAGGCTGGAAAGAAGTCCAGCAGTTGGCATGGGAGGTGTGGAAACTACCCATCCAGCCTACCAGCAAGAATTCCACTCAGTCGGATCACATTTGGATATCACCGGAGCTTCAAGCTTGCATCCATTCAGTCTCAGTGTCCGACTTAGTATTTCCGGATCATGCCACCATTCAAGCGGTCTTTAAGGTATCTCAGCCAGACATGGTGCAAAACCATTGGCCGACACCAGCCCACCTTGACTGGAATGAGATAGACACAGATGTTTGGCAGGCCAGTGTGGATCGCTACCACCGCCCTTTCCAGTGGCACGGGCCTTCATCATCAGAATATGCGGATTGGTGCAAACTGTATGAAAAATCACTAGATCCCTTCCACGCCTCCGGTTTGGGTATGCCCGCTGCATGCAAGGGACGCGGGCGAACAATTTCGCCACGGAGACGTCAACTTCAGCTGTCAGTTCCAAAGGTCTCACGCCCGGGCGAAGAACCCGTGGCTTCCGGCCTCTTGGGTAGATCAGTCTTGCTTTGGTACAAGCAGCTCCGTCGTCTTCAATCTTTGTGTCACGCAGTGGCAGCTGACAAGCAGTCTCCACAAGCAGTCCTTTACAGGAGCCAGCTGTGGCACAGCATCCTTGCAGCGAAAGGGTTTCGCACAAGCTTTTCTTGCTGGTGGACGACAAGAAGTGTCCAACTTGAGCACGCCCCGCACATGTTGCCACAGAGTGTACCATGTTCTGTTGGAATAACTTTGATCTTTGAGGATTTCAAGGCCAACTACAGAAGATATGAATCATGGCAGCTTCGGCACAGAGCGCAAGCACTGAACGCCAAACGTAGAGCCGATGCCGCTTCTCGTTTCCAGGTCATCAAACATTCCCATAAAGAGCCCTTGACGTCGATCGTGGATGTGCATTCTCAGCACATCAGGACAATTGAAGGGCATGCAGACTTGGTTGCCGTGGATGATGATTTTCCCGAAGAGGGAGTGCTTGGATGGCAGGTTGATTCCACGGAAGCCGCGGTTGCCAGGGTTGGACCAGGAGTCTATCGAGTTAAAGCCGACATCGAACTTCAAAGTGGGGCTATGCTGTCTTGTTCACAACTGCAGGCGGATGTTGCGCGGATACACAAGCGGCTTGAAGAGTTGTGGGTTGAGCGATGGCAAAAACACAAAGACACTCCGGAAGAGGCATGGCAGAGAGTTGTGGCCTTCTCTCGGGCGTACCTGCCCTCAGCGAGCTTACAATTGCCGGCTATCTCCTACGAGATGTGGATTGGAGCCGTGAAAAGGTTCAAGCTGAAGGCTGCTAGAGGTCCGGATGCTTGGTCACGAGCTGACTTGATGCGGATGCCCAAACCTCTTGTGGAGGACGTTCTGCGTTTGTTCCAATGCATCGAGCGGACGGGGCAATGGCCCGTGCAGCTCTTGACAGGACTGGTGCACAGTTTGGAAAAGCATTGCGAGGCACGCACAGTTGACCAGTATCGCCCAATCACAGTGTTCAGCATGCTGTATCGCTGCTGGGCGGGTATTCGGGCATCTCAACTGCTGCGTTTTTTCTCTCAACTTGCGGATGCAACGCAGTGCGGATTTCTGCAGGACCGTGAGACCAGTGATATATGGCTTGTCGTTCAGGCAGGAATAGAACTGGCTCTCCAGCAGAAATCAGGCTTGCATGGAGTTGTTGCAGACTTGGTGAAAGCGTACAACACTTTGCCGAGGCATCCGTGTTTCGAGATGATGCGACACCTAGGAGTTCCGGAGTACTTGTTGAGAGCTTGGCAAGGTTTTCTCAACGGTGTCAGTCGAAGGTTCGTTGTCAGAAACGATTGTGGTGGCCCGATACTGAGTTACACGGGATT